TCTGTCTCTAGCTGCCACAACAAGCTAATCAAGATTGATGATGTCGGGAAAGAGGTGTAGGTTGTTCCTTTCCCTAGATTACTCGTGTCGATGAAAAAATCGGAGAAGAAGGCAAATAGCGGTGGCGGTCCGGAGCTGAAGAACGCTGTCAATCGATGGACGACGACCTTTCGGATCTTGCCTCCGATTTAGCAGGGAATTTTTCGTGGGAGTGAGGGGAGGAGTCCATGGAGTTGCCAGACTCTGAGGAGTCAAGGTTCCCGACTACGACGATCTCTATGCCAACCATTTTGTTGCCTCTAAAGTTCTACTTGATGCCTTCGTTCAACCTCTGTTTTCCGCTTTTCCCTACTGAAACCACCATGAAAGGATAGATTGTTGCGAGATCTACACGAAAACATCGGCCACAAGCCTCGGCGAATCAACATGGAGACGAGATCTGAATCAATTAAATTGACTTCCAATATGTCACCGTCCCGTCTGGTCTCATAGTTGGGGAGCTAGTCACAAGCAGGGAAAAAGCCATAGCAAAAATCATCAACAAAATTCATCGGAAAATACTATCTGTCCGTCCCCACTGTGAAAAAAGTCGCCTGAAAAAATCTCGGCCTCCGTCATCGGAGATATGACGATAGTGATGGGTTGTGGAGGACGATGGGGACTTTTTCACAATCTAAAGCTGCTTCTCGAACCCTTTACTAAGGATCTGTTCAGCCAATATCTTTGTTCACGGGCTAGGTTGGGACATCACTCCCGAGACCTTAATAGCCGCCTTCAAGCATTATGGAGATATTGAGATTTGCAAGGCGGTGACCCGATGACGGACAAGGTTTCTGGGAAATCCAAGGGCATGGTTTTATTATTTTCAAGAGGAAAAGTGCAGCTCGGGAGGTGCTTGGGAATCAAAAAAGGAAAAAGGCATGATTTTTTATTTAACTTTTTTATAAATGATGTGTCATTAAGTCAATGGTCCAGTCAGCAGTTCTATTTGCCACTTCATCAATAAACTGAAGGAGTGAACAGAGTTTAACGGAGACTAACGATCAGTGACTAACAGTGAAATAATTCGTAAAGTTAGTGGCTAATAAGAAAGAAAAGTAATTTGGGTGACAAACGTGAAAGATTTATATAATTTGAGTAACCAAACGTGTAATTTAGCCGACTGATAACACTATATTTGGACATATTTGTTCTGTCATTTCTTGATCGTTTAAGCTTGCATTTGCGCTCACATGGAATATTTTACGCTAGGTTGTGTCGGTTTATGATGTTTCAGGTCCTAGTACATGAAAAGATGCGAATGAGCAAGTTTTGGGACGTTTTGGAGCGATTGGGCAGAGAGCAAAGGAGAGTTACAGCTAGATCTTGAAAGTTACGGTCTGGACCGTAACTTACCCGTGTAGCCCGTAACTTTGGAGGAACGGAGCTAGAGATCCAAAATCATTTTTAAAGTTACGACCTCCCCCCTCCAATTTACGGTCTCAACCGTAACTTGTCCACAAGGCTTGTAACTCTAAGGAAGTGAGGCCAAGGTTCCAGGAGCATTTTTAAAGTTACGGCCTTCCCCTCAAAGTTACGGTCTCAACCGTAATTTCTCCTTGGAAGTCGTAACTCTTGGTTACGGAGTGCAGATAGCGACATTGTTTGGTGGAGAATTATGGGCTGGGAAAGGGAGTTACGGCCGTAACTTTGGCCTTAACTCGTGATTCTCCAACAAATACAAGACCAGCTCGGGAGAAAGGAAGGGATGTGGTTTTTTACGTTTAGAAACAGCAAGAGAGAGCCCTAGAGTGAGAAAGTGACGAAGAACAACCTTGGTAATGGATTGGAGCAATCTAAGGACGTTGGAGCTTGATCTTTCACCCTCGGAGTGTCGATTTCCAGCCTGGAGCAAATTTTCACCCCTTATAAGATGATTTCTCTTCCAAGCTTGGTGTTTTCCCTTCTGTCCATGGTGTAAACTCTTCTCTACCACTTGGATATGAAGAACCCTAGTTGTGCATGTTAGGAGCAGTTGTATGAACCCCTTTTCCAGTACATTGATGATTATATATCCAATTGAGGTTTTTATCCAGAAATTTATGAGTCTTGATCAAACTTGTATGTTTCCAACTTTAACCTAGAACGATTGAATCTGAATAGGTTAATAGAGTATCCTGATTTGAAAGTGGTGAATCGATTGTACGAGAGTCTATCGAGTCATTGCTCTGTACTGGAATTTATTCCAATAGAGAATTTCTATTTTGCATCTTATCTCGGTGAAGGCTAGTCGCATGTCGGGTATTGTAACTAAGAGGGCTTGGTCAGTTTAAGAGATTCTAAGCTAGGTTCGGATCTTTCGTAGTATAAATCTTAATTGAATTGGACTGAGTGATTTACAACTCGACCTAACTGTCGACGAGGGGGAATCATTACCTGAGTGGTTCCTTCTCGAACTTGAAAACCAAAACATTAACTGCTTTCTATTTAATTTTCTTTGATGACTTTACTACATTTCATCCTCTAAATAATTGAAATTCACGGAGTAGACATTACACCAAGGCGAAAAACGCGGTGGCGATTCGGCGGTGGCTAGAGTTTCTGGCGAGGGGAAAATAGGTTTCTGGAGAACTAGATTGTAGGGTATTAAGGAGAACTTGGCCCGTCTTTGAACAATTGGTTCGTTTAGGTGGGAGAACATGTTAATGCATCTACTTGGTGTTGCGGGATTTCATTCTGCTTGTAAGTATCCTAGTGTTGCGGGATTTCATTCTGCAGTATAGTCAGGATTGCGCTTAAGTGTGAGGGATTGTTTGCTCCTCTACCCCAGTTATTTTGATACTAACGGGTCTCATGGTATGTGTAGATATGTTTTGCATGATGATGCTCAACCTAGATCACGTCTACTTGTAGGGTCTCCGCTACCATGCGGACTATGACGGGCCCTTTACCAAAGGCGCAGATTGGGGCCCATTATTGATCAATCTAGCATACTTCCAACAGTTCTTTTGCCGCAATGCCGTTGAGGAGGCAGTCCCCCACCAGCAGTGGAGGCGCCTGCTAGAGCTCTAAGACCACATTTTCGAGAAGCTCACAATGGAGTTCTACAAGACCTTCCGCCACACCCGCAAGCGGTAGGTTATTGATGATGGCACGATTACCTTTCAGCTCGGAGGTCAGCACCATAGTCTGATATATGATGAGTTCTCCACCGCCCTCGTCCTCGAGCGCTACGACATGTTCTAGGTGGAGCCCACCATTTTGCAGGAGGACTACCAGGCCTTTTACTAGCCGATCTGCCTGCACCAGCACACAGCGGTTCCCTATCCACATAGCCGGACCTGGGCCAGTCAGTTTCAGACCTCGTGACGGTTCTATAGGCGATGCTTGCTCACTCTGCCATTCCTAGTCAGGAGGCCTCCAGACAGGTCACCAAGAGGCACATGTACGCTATGCTCACCATGTCTCGCTTTCATGACCACATAACTTCGGCTCGATCATGGCAATCTCCTTCTTTCAGGTGAAGAATCACTTGAAGGTGCTCACACTACACGGTGGGCCATACATCACTCATCTGGCCCGGTACTTTGAAATTCCTCTCGACGGATGTACCTGGGTCGGGTGCACTAGAGATACCCCTACAAGACTCTATACTCCATAAGGCTTATTCGGGACACTCGGACGAACCCCCGGATCTGTTTTCTCAAGGGCATGTCCCTGCCGAGTTTGCAGAGGAGGTAGAGGTTGATGCTCTTGCTCCCGGCCAGGCTCCACCACATCATCCTGAGCCAGACCCGCTGCAATTCTTTCCCGGCCCCTCAGGTGCCGGTTCTTTATCAGCTACACCGTCCGACGACCGTTGGGAAGTCATGGAGGCTTGGTTTGACCAGATCGAGGCGTGCATTGACCATAAGCGCGATGCTCACCGCTACTCCCATTTCTTGCTGGAGCGCCTGTGCCAGGCGGCTGACATTGACACCGCCTAGACCTTCAGACACCCTTCTCTTGACCGGGCTGCTGACGAGGATGATTGAGCATGCCCTTTGACCACGGGCTCCATGTGTTATGTTTTGTGTTTTCGTATTTCTATGTCGAACTAGATGTTTTTTGTGCCCGGTTTTTCTCATTTTGAAGCCATGGGGCTGGTTGCTGTTCTCCAAATTCTTACCCAGTTTGAGTGGTTGTTTTGGTCTTGCCTTGTTTCTTAGAGACTAGTCCACCTTCTAGTCTACTCACGATGACTGGTCCCATCTCCATTCCCACTACAGTCCATTTTTTCTCGGAAAAATCATTCCTATTATCTTTCCCTCTTCTCCATTGAGGGCAATGTCAATCTTAAGTGTGAGGGTGTTTATCTTTGACTGTTTAGATGCGCTTGTGTGCTTGGAGCCTAGTCCATTGTAAAAATTTCACAATTTGAGGGCACCAAGTAGTGTTCCTTGCAAATGTCTGCTCAGTATGCTTTGAATTGACAGTCTTTATAGTAGTATGCAACCTAGGGAGGTAGTGTAGCACCATGGAGGATGTTGATGCATTATCTCCTTTCTTCTTCATACTGTGTGGGTCGATTGTGAAAACTTGTGATCTTAGGACACTCGAATTGTGTGGTATCGCTGACTCTCTACCTATCATAGACTCATGTATCATGTTTTCTGAAAGGTGCTATAAAAATTGTGCTCTGGAAATAATGTCTACCGTGTAGAAATCGGTGAAAGTGTGTAAGGGGAGACGAGAATTCGTTCCCAACTTCCACTTACTACCTCCAATCCCCTTACACCTCTTTCCCCGCACGAGGCTTGAGACATCTGCTCCCGGCATGGCCGGTAAGAGCCTCTCCCAGCATGGCTGGTAAGAGTCGGGCTCCCTCAAAATCTTTGTTAGGTGGGAGCCCCGTTTTCTGCAAATAATAGGTTGGAACTCTTGCTAGCAAAGAAAAATGAACAAATAAGAAAATGAAAAAAATGAAAAAAGGGATAGAAGGGTTCCAACCATCTTCAAAGAAAAAAGAGTACCTAAAAAGTTGGGTCCATGATCTTCTATTTTGAGAGTCGCTTTATCCACGGATCACTTTTTTATGACACTAATTGGCATGATCGCGATTCGGGACTAGAGTTCTCCCCGAAGGAGCTAGGCGATGTCTTGCACATTGGTTGACCTCGTAAGTTGCCAAATGACCTAGGAAGTCCTCTACCGACGATCGTGGTTGCATGTTGCTGTAAAGATCTAGATAGTTGCATTGGTTTGAGTCAGGTTTGCTTGGAGACAAGCAAACGGTTAAGTGTGGGGGAATTTGATAAAACTAACTTGTGGCCTATTTTACGCTAGGTTATGTCATGTTATGATGTTCTGGGTCCTAGTACGTGAATAGGTGCAAAGGAGCGAGTTTTAGAACGTTTTGGAGCATTCGGGCAGACAGCAAAGGAGAGTTACGGCCAGACCCTGAAAGTTCCGGTCTGGCCCATAACTTGCCTGCGCACCCCATAACTTTGGAGTAACAGAGCCGGAGATCCAGAATCGTTTTTAAAGTTACTGCCTCCCCCCTCCAAGTTACGGTCTCAAGAGTAACTTCTCCTCCAGGCCCGTAACTCTAAGGAAGTGAGGCCAAGGTTCCAGAAGTGTTTTTAAAGTTACAGCCTCCCCTTCAAAGTTACGGTATCAACCATAACTTCTCCTTGGAAGCTGTAACTCTTGGTTACGGAGTGCAAACAGCGACGTCGTTTGGTGGAGAGTTATGGGCTGGGCAAGGGAGTTACGGCTGTAACTTTGGCCGTAGCTCACAATTCTCCAGCAAATAAAAGGCCAGCTCGGGTGAAAGGAAGGGATATGGGTTTTAACGTTTAGAAACAGCAAGAGAGAGCCCTAGAGAGAAAGTGACGAAAAAAATAGTGGGAACGTTTGGAGCGATCTAAGGACATTGGAGCTCGATCTTTCACCCTTGGAGTGCCGATTTCCAGCCTGGAGCAGATTTTCACCCCTCATAAGATTATTTCTCTTCCAAGCTTGGTGTTTTCCCTTCTATCCATGGAGTAAACTCTTCTCTACCACTTGGGTATAAAGAACCCTAGTTATGCATGTTAAGAGCAGTTGTATGAACCCCTTTTCTAGTACATTGATGATTATATTGAGGTTTTTATCTAGACATTTATGAGTCTTGATCAAACTTGTATGTTTCCAGCTATAACCTAGAATGATAGAATCTGAATAGGTTAATAGAGAATCCTTATTTAGAAGTGGTGAATCGATTGTGTGAGAGTCAATCAATTCATTGCTCTATACTGGAATTTATTCCCTTGGCGAAGATAGTCGATGAGAATCTTGTCATCTTGAATGAGATAGAAATTCTCTATGCGAAATTGCTCCTCGAGTCCATGGTGAGGGAAATGGAGGAAGTAGTCGAAGAATCTTTCTCATGCATCCCTCAATGTCTCATCCTCCTCTTGCTCAAAGTGAGTGATCTTCTTTCTCCACTCGGCCGTCTTGGAAGGAGGACAATATCAGGTCATGAATTTGTTGAGTAAATTGTCCCAAGAGGTGATAGATAGATCCGGTAGGTTGTTGAGCCATCGGAGTGCCTTCCCCGCAAAAGAATAGGGGAAATGCATCAATCGCAATGCCTCCTCGGGGACGCCATTTATCTTCAAGCTTCCCGCTAACTCAAGAAACCTTTGGACATGCTCTGATGGTGATTCATTGGCAAGCCCATGAAAGTAGGCATTGTTTTGAATCATCGTCACAAGAGCGGGCTTGATTTCAAAGTTGTTGGAGGCCATGGGTGGATGTAAGATGGGAGATTGGATATCCGCCGCCCGTGGAGCCATGTAATAGCCCATAGTCCTTGGCTCTTCCTCGGCTCCCACTTCCACATTTGGGATTGGAAGCGGATTAGCCCCTCGGTGTTGATTCCCTGCCATCTCAACTTCAACCGGTAAGCTTCTTGGAGTGAACCGCAGAGATTTATCTATGGAGGCTTATACAGAGACAAGGTAGAGGGATAACCTCTTCCAAACTCATTGCTTGGTCGACGGGAAAGTGTTATCTGTGGTCATCGATGGTGGTAGTTGCACCAATGTGGTTAGTCTGGATGCAGTCAAGAAGCTGGGATTGAGTACCATCAAGCATCATCAACCATACACCCTGCATTGGTTGAACGACTATGGGAATATCAAAGTCAACAAGAAGGCCAAGGTTTGTTTTTAGATCGATGATTATGCAGATGAGATTTAGTGTGATGCTGCTCGCCTGCTCCAATGTAGGCTGCTCATCTCTTATTGGGTCGTCCATGGAAATATGATCGAGAGGTTATTCATGATGGAAGGCACAATGGATACTGGTTCAAAAAAGGAGATTGAGAGTTTCTGCTGAATCCATTGTCACCAGCTGATGTCTGTGAAGTTCAATGACAAATGGAGCAGAACTGGGCCAAGGAGAAAGGAAAAAAAGTGGCTTAAAGTTGGAGGACAGAGCCAAAGCACATCTAATGGCTTGAAAGAACGTGTTGACTACATTGAGGTGAAGTCCATGTGGAAATATTGTTGATGTTGTCTATGGCAGGAAAACACAAGCTTTAAGGACAAAGCTTCTCCAACGAAGAGGGACTGATGCGTCCGGGCACGTGGAGATGAAGACCACCGACCAGAGGAAATTAACATCCCCGACCAGGGAATGGAAGGCTCTGTCGGATTATTAGAGGCAGTAGCACCCCTGGACAGGAGGAGTAAATCCCCGACCGAGGATTTTGACCGGGTTTCGGGCCTAGCCGAGTTCGTCCTTCCTTTTCAGTGAAGGAATTTGTTTCTTTTGGGGGTTTTGGTTAATTTTATTTGCCCTAGACTATATAAAGGGCCTAGGACACGAATTTTGAGTTAGTTTTTCAGAATATTTATTTTATCTTGGTTTTGAGCTTTAGACTTGAACTTTTCTCTGTATCAATCAAGTTTTTCCCTTGATTGTGGTCTAGATTCTACCTATTATATTGATAGATCCTTCTCTCGATTTGGTGTTGAGATTTCACTTTCAATTCCATCCTATCCCAAAACATTAAAAATCCTTTTGCTTGTTCTTTCTTGAAGCTTTGCGACTTTGATCAAAAGAACCTAAGCTTTCACGAGCTCAGGATCTTATCACATGATGGTAATGTCACATGAGAAGAATGATTTGTGGTCTCGCTCGACCCCCTCCACCAGAGCTTGCTACTGTCGCAGGAGAAGCATACCAGCCTATTGGGGAGGATTCCCCACCTTGGCATACCCAGGAGCGCGACATCACCTCTGCGGGCCCATCTGTAGAGCATTCTTATTGTTAGTTTGCTAACCAGCTGGCAGCCTTGGCGCACCCGAATGAGCATATCCTTGCCGCTCACACTCGAATCCTGGACCGACAAGAACGGATCAACTCTCGTCTTGAACGAGAGCGAGATGCTAGGTGCATCATCATGGCAAACCAAGACTACCTGATCAGGCTTGGTGGAGGCTCCTAGCCAAGTTATCACTTAGTGGGATCGCTCCCCTTCCTTGGATATGAATTTGGATGACGTTAACTATGAACTCTCCAATGGTGGGGGAGGCTTTCTCGACTCAGATTGATCCATCAACAGATGTTCCTTTGTTTTGTTTTGTTTTGTTTTTTGTTTTGTTGTTTTGAGATTCAGACTATTTCTTTTCTTTTTCTTTCTTTTAGCGTGTCTGTTGAACTTGGAACTATGGTTTGGACTTACCCTTGACCCAATGTGTTCTTTTATGTTGTTTTTGCTCCATCCATATCGACTGGTCCCTTCTCCAGTCCCATGATCTTGACTAGCTCATTCTCCATTCCTCACCGACGTTCATCATTCACTGGTAGCATCATTCCCCTTTTCTCCCTTTGCTCCATTGAGAGCAATGTCAAACTAAAGTGTGGGGGTGTCTATTCTGTTGAATGTAGGCTTGTATATGTGCTTAGAGTCTAGTCCACTGTACAAATTTTAAATTTGAGGGCTCCAAGCCAAGGAATTCTCCATTTGCACGATCATAGCAGCACCGATGGTGTCTTGTGTTGAATCCCTTGGCTATGAGCATCGATGTATGAACAACTTGTTCGTGATTGAGAATAACCTATTATGATGACTAAGATATGTAGTAAAAAGGTGTAGGGGGTTCCATTTTCACCTCTTTGCAAACCAACTTTTGACTTGGATTGATTACTCATTTTTTATAATTGTCTATGCATAGAGTTTAAGGAATTGGAATGAGGGATAGAGCATATAGGTAGCCATGTGAGACTTCGTCCCTGCTTGCTTCTTTCTTGTGTGATGTTTCCCTCTTACCATGATGCGTAGCATTCACGTTGCCGCTAATGAGAAAGATGGAGGCATAGGATTAGTCCACGGCCAAATTAATTGTATCGGTGTGTCAGACCCCCAAGTCAGCCCCCTGGAGTCGTGTTTACTTATTTCTTGTGTTTGCATTGATGAAGAGTTACCCTTTTGTCTTGAAGCTCCCATTATTTGAGCTTACTAGAGGTTCCACAATGTAATTCTTGCATGATTTCTGCTTATTATGAAATGAGTGTTGGGGAAAGTTTTTCAAATCGAGCATGTGTTCTTAAAGTTTAAAATGGTGACATATGTTGTTAGCTCTCAAAGAAAAAGGAAAAAAAGAGAAATAAAATAAAAAAGAATGAGAGCTGCCACCAAAGTTGATTATCCCCAAATGCATGTTGATAATCCCCTTCAATCTTGTACTAAAAGTTGTAGAAATAGCCGTAGCAGATAAAGATTATTTTGTATGATTGTTGTGATTGGTTCTGGTTTGGAATTGTATAACCTTGTGTTGTATGTGTTTCCACCACATAAATATTCTAAAGCCCATGTACTACATTCTGACCGGTTACAACCCAATCAAGTCCTCTGAACAAGTTAGTGGTGACACTCATTCTGTGAACTCTAGCATTTAGAGGCTATTATCATGGTGAAGTGATGATAGAGCTGAGAGTATGAGTATGCAAATCTTTTGCATCAAACTGTCCTGACCCCACTGGTCGATAGTGATTCATTTCCCATATGATAATTCATAGTGAGGGCCTAGATTGTTCTATCTCTAATATGATGTCTTAATCTTTATGCATGGGTGACTGTGACCCGTGAGTAGTTGAGGCATGTCATTTTTTGGTCTGTCAATAGAGGGATGACTCTTTCTCTCCGTAATTTGGCTGCATTCAAAGGTCATCTATGGTGGTTGTCAAAGTTGTTGTTGTTTTTGTTCCATATGTTGATGCTAGACAACCATTGTGATTCACGTGATTGTGCTCTATGACATATTCTCACAAATTTTTGAGGAAGATTATAAGCTTACCTCATGTCTACTTGCTTTGCTTGGTGACTCACTTCTACTGTCACTCTAGGAATTGGCCAAGTGTAACCACTTCCTAAAGCGTAGTATAGCGGGTTTGGGTTTAAATGTCAACCCGGGTCCTAGATTTGATGACTACTCAGTGAATTCTTGTTATCTAGCAATGAAACTTTAATGCAAGTCTAAACTAACAAACAAACAAAGCAAGTAAACTGTTGTTTTCAGGTTAAGAGAGGTCACCCGGATATGGTTCCCCCTAGACTGCAGTTAAGCCGGATTGCAATTACCAAGTTCAGTTTCTATGATAGTTATACTGCGGAAGGTTCTCAAACAGCCTGAAGTCTTGACTAAAGGTCTTCAGACCCTCTCAATCTGAGTCTCTAGCGGGCGACTAACCTCCACCGGAGTAAACAGATTGAGGCCCTAACAACAAAACCTCCACTACCGAAGTGAATTCGGTACAGAATAGTGAGTTGGCTCCTCGACCAAAGTCACCAACTCCCTACCTTCAATCAAGGATGCTCTATCAACCTAGGCAGATATTATCATTCTAGGTTAAAGCAGAAACAACAGGAATTTGATCAGGATTCATGCCATTCAATCATTCAAACCTCAATTGAATATAATCAAATCATAGAATCAGTACTTGGGTTCATACAATCAAACCTAACATACAAATCTAGGGTTCTCCATACCCAGATGAATGGGAGAACTACTCCATGGAGAAAGAAGCAAAAGCAGAATCAGACGCGGAAATCATACTGTGAAGGATGGATTTCTGCTCCTGGACGTTGATCGGCACTTCTCCAAGCTCAAGCCAAGCTCCAATGGTGATGAAGATCAAGCTAGGGCACTTGGGAACTCTTGTTCGTCGCTTTCTCTCTCTAGGAATCGCTCTGTCTCTCTAAAACTCGAATCCCCTTCTGTTTTGGCTGAAATCTGCTTAAAAGGGCATCACTGGGCAAAACACGGTCGAGGGCACGGCCGTGTTTTTCCTCAACCCGCCCGTGTTTTGCCAAGGGTTAATTACACGGCCAGACTGTTGGGGGAAAACACGGGCGTGCTTTTGGTGGACACGGCCGTGTTTTTCCTCAACCCTGCCCGTGTTTTGAGCTCGTGTTTTTCAACCCCATATTAAGTCTCGGCAGTAAAAGCACGGCTTTGGAACACGGCCGTGTTCTGCTTTAGGTGTGCCCGTGTTTTGGCTCCAGCTCCACCGAATGACTTCTGAATGCCCCGAAACTCGTGCTTAGCCTTTCCTTTGACGTCTGGGACCTGAAATATGACAAAATAGCACAACCCGGCGTAAAATAGGCCAAAAATACACGACTATGCCCCTCAAACGGATAAGAACTAGGGGCGCAAATATGTGCAATTACATTGTTATCAAATTCCCCCACACTTAACCGTTTGCTTGTCCCCAAGCAAACCAAGTCAGACACAAGGTAAGCTCAAAACAGGGCATGTCATATCGGCACAAAACACGTGGATCATACTGGCTTTCGATCATTAACACATGGAAAACCTCAATGACAACCTAGACAACCACCACAGATGACATTCGAATGCAGTAAAATCGAGCAAAGGAAGAGTCTCCCTTCTGTTCACCAACCAACATAGACTTGACTCAACCACTTGTTCAAAACAGTCACTTCATGTACAAAGCTCAAGATATCAGAATTAAGACCGAGCAATCTAGGTCCTCACCGTGATAAAGAGTATAGAGAATAAGAGAAAATGAATCGCTCAATCTCGACCAGTGGGGTCAGGACAATTTGATGCAAAAAATGCGCATGCTTAATCTCTCAATCCCTAACATCTCTTCATGAATGCAGCCTCTAAGTGCTAGAGTTCACATATGGGGTGTCACCACTAACTAATCCGGAGGTCTTAGACACAGGTTGAGATGACTGGCTAGGGTCTTGGACATGGGGAAAAGGCCTTTTAGGTGGTGGAAGTATTCATAGCACAAGGTTCCACATTTCCAAACCCAACAAACTCACAGTCAATCAAACCAATAACTTTCTTTCTGCTATTCTGCATTACTCAAATTCTTCAGAGCATAAGAGCGAAGGAGGTCGCATAAATGCTAGTATTTCTAAGCCAGATTGCTAAGAAACACTACTTAATGGGCACTATTCAGATTTTTGGTGGTGGCTCTCTTTTGCTTTCATTTTTTCTTTGTTTTTTTTTTTCATTTCTTAAGAGAACCACAACCTCTGCACATATTTCAAGCACCTGCCCAACTTTTTAAGAATACCTCCAACCTTCACATTATATTAAGCAGAAACCGCAGAGAACATGTAAAAACCACTCTGTGGAACCTTCTAAGAGATGCAAAAGGGTGATTTTTTCATATTGACCGAAAGAAAGGGTAACACACGGCTCAAAGGGGCTGACTAGGGGGTATGACACACCAGGACAGTCAATTTGGTCGTGGGCTAATCCTATGCCTCCATCATCTTAGCTAATGACAACGTGAATGCTGCACATCATGGAAGAGGGAACTATCGCACAAGAAAGAAACGAGCAGGCTCAAGTCTCACATGGCTACCTATATGCTCTATCTCTCGTTCTGATTCCCTGAACTAGATGCATAAATGACTGTCAAAAGCAAGTGATCAAACCAAGTCACATTTGGTGAGCAAACAGTTGAAAAACTGAACTCCTACACAGTTCTACTGCACATCTCAGTCATCACAGTAAGTTGTCTAAGTCACACTCAAGTTGTCATGTATCAAGTCAAAAGCCATTCAATTCACTAATCACATCCACAGTGCCAATACGATCAAATATCAAGCAAACAGCCGTGCTTGGAGCCCTCAAATCTCAAGATTTGGACAGTGGACTAGGCTCCAAGCACACATATATACGTTCCAATTCATACAAAGAACCCCCCCCCCCCCCCCCCACCACACTTAAATGCGACAATGTCCTCAATGGAGCAGAGGGAAGGGGAACGATGTTACCGTGAAACAGTGGTCAGGAACGTTGACTGGATGGCGGACCAGTCAAAAGAAGGAGGCACAGAGCTAGAGACAACAAAAACACACACACTGGGTGATAGAAATCATAGTACCAAGTCTACAATCCAAGATAAAACAAAACAAAACAAAACAAAACCACAAAACATGGAGTCTTAGTCTGGAACACAAATAAAACACAGAACCAGCTCTAGAAGGCATCACCACCATCGCCAGGGGGTGGAGGGTACTCATCCTCAAACCCTGGGGACTGCACGAACGGGTAGTGGACCGCGTTCGGGTCCAAGCCCAAGTAGGACATAATGTAGTGCCGCCCTGACATGAGACGACGCCCTCGGTCCCGCTCACGATCAAGGCGGGTGTGGATGCGCTCCTGGCCGGCCAGGATGCGCTCGTTCTGCTGAGCGATCGCCGCCAACTGGTCGGAGATGGGCACCACCACTAGAGGAGGTGACCCTGGAGAAGGAGACCGGGGAGCAGGAGAGGGGATCGCGGGAGACTGTTCACGACGGACAGCGCAACGGGGAACGCTGCGTCCACCAGCGGCGCTCGACTCGGGCTGGTCGCCCGCTGCAGGGAGAGGCGGCTGAGGAAGGCCCGCGATCCAGTTCACACGCCCGTGGCGAGCAACCAAGTGCTGGTGGCGGAGAGTATCCTCGCTGAGTGGGGTTGGCCCGCGGACCAATGTCATCCCTGTGTAGTCAACCCCGTAGTTGCGGGCCAAGGCGGTGATCACCGGGCCACATACAAGGCTGGGAGTCGTGCTGCTGGTGGCTTTAGTGAACGTCCAGGCGAGCACAGAGCCCAGCTGGATGGTATCCTCAGAACGACCCATCGCATCCATGAACCAGAGGGTCCGGAGTGTGACCCGGTTGGATGAACCTTTGCTGGGTGTGTAGGAAGTGCAGAGCAGGTGGTTGAGGATCCGCCACTCCGGACGGAGGAGAGCGGCCCGTGTCTGGCTGGCAACGTACTCTTCATCCGCATTGTTCGGTAGGCAAATGTGCTGAAAGTACGCCTGGGAAGCGAAGTCGGTGGGATCAGAGAGATCCAAGCGTAGGGGCGGTCCGCCGGCCTCCCGGGAATTGAGACGAAGTGCATTGGCGAACTCCCAGTAACTGAGGGAGTGCTCCACCCCGCCGAGTGTGAACTGAACTGCATCAGCATGGTCGGAGTTTCCCTTCGAGTTGTGGTGGAAGGTGGCGTAGAACTCCCAGACGAGCTCCTTGTAGGTCGGCTCGGCGAGGGTGAGAAGACGCCTCCAACCATAGGTGCGGACCACGGCCTCCATCTGTGGCCTGGCATGAAGTGCCTCGAACACCTCCCAATCGAGGTGCAGGTGCTCGGCGATGGTGCGGTGACGGAGGTTCCGCAGCATATGGCGCTGGGTGATGCTCATCTGGTCGAGAAAAACCTCCATGATCCTGCAAAACCCAAGGAAGTACAAAGGGTACACAAGCAAACGGGGTCAATGTTAGGCCAAAACCACACCGGGAGCCCTCATATCAAAAGATATGGACAGTGGACTAGACTGCCGGCGAAACAAGCATACCCATCACACGAGAATTTCACAGCAAAATACACCGGGGACCCTCAAATCGAGCGATTCGGACAGTGGACTAGGCCCCCGGTGAAACAAGCATACCCAAAACCGTACTAAATAAGCACCAATCATCCCAATCATACAATGCAACATGCAATCATCCCAATCATCCTCAAACCCAATCTTCCCCAAACCATTCCACAATCAGAAGTTCTTCACCTAACTCTAGGTATTGATTCTCCATAAATAAAGGAAAAGACAAGGAGAACACACCTGGAGACGCAAGGAGAGACCACGAGAGAGGTGAAGAAAGTGGAAATAGGCACCCAAAGTCGCCGGAAAACACACCGGAGACTCGCCGGGAAACTCACCGCCGGTGACCCAACCTCGGCCAAACCTGCCCAAATCTTTGGGGAATGTGCTCCTTGACGCCAGGAGCATAGGGGCGTTCGCGGTTTGTGATTTGGAGGTCGGGAGAGGGAGTTATGGCCGGAAAATCGAAGGAGAAGGTGAAAGGGCCGAGTTTCCGGCGAGAGGGGGCTGGAAATTTTTGAAAAAAATGATCTGGTGGGTGGGGGGGAGGAAAAATCGATTTTATAGGGGGGGCAGCGAAACACGGGCGGGGCAAAGCACGGCCGTGTTCGGCCTGCTCCGCGCCCGTGTTTTTACTGCCGAGGGCAGAATTGCTTTCCTTTGAAAACACGGGCGGGCTTGGGCCAAAACACGGCCGTGTTTTCAAAAGGCCAGCGCCCGTGCTTTTTATGCCGAGGCCAAAATGCAAAACACGGGCGGGCAGGGGCAAAACACGGCCGTGTTTTGGTCCCCTGCGCCCGTGTTTTTACTGCCGAGCCCAAAATGCCTTTTTTCAAAATTTCAATCTCAAACCACCAAGACTCATTCGTGCCCCGGTTCTAAAATTTACCCAATCATACAGTAAAAAGAACCACCCGAGGCACGAAAAACTTTCCAGACAGACTCAAAGACTCAAAACCCGACAAAAATGAAATAAATAAATAAAAACAAAGGGGAGAAATGCAAACCGTGGTGGGGTTGCCTCCCCACAAGCGCTTCTTTACCGTCTTTTAGCTGGACGCCCATGGCGGAACTAAGGGTCCGCGAAGTCCACTGCCAACTCCTCACGTTCGACCTCACCTCCCAAGTACAGTTTGAGACGATGGCCATTCACTTTAAATGGTTCAGTTTGCGGGTTGGCAATCTCGATCGTGCCATACGGGAACACCTGTGTGACCGTGTACGGTCCAGACCACCGGGAACGGAGTTTTCCGGGAAAAAGTTTCAGGCGCGAGTTATAAAGGAGAACTCGATCACCAACCTGGAACTCTTTCGGACCCCGCTTAGTGCGCTCCTTATACAGCTTGTTGTTCTCATAGGCGTGATAACGCCACTCTTCCAGCTCCAACATCTGCATTTTTCGCTCAACACCTGCAACACTAACATCCAAGTTTAGCAGCTTAAGGGCCCAGAAGGCCTTGTGCTCTAGCTCCACGGGAAAATGGCATGCCTTTCCATAGACAAGCCGGTACGGTGAGGTACCAATGGGCGTCTTGTAGGCAGTGCGGTATGCCCATAGAGCATCATCGAGCTTGGTGGACCAATCCTTGCGGGATAGATTCACCGTCTTCTCCAGGATACGCTTGAGCTCCCGGTTCCTCAGCTCGGCCTGACCACTTGTTTGAGGATGGTAGGCCACGGACACCTTATGAGTTACACCATAGCGAGACAACAATTTATCGAACTGACCCTGGAAATGGGTGCCTCAGTCGCTTATGATGGCTCTAGGTGTCCCGAACCGGGAGACTAGCTGCTTCAGAAAACCACAAACACGTCTAGCATCATTAGTGGGCAAAGCTTGCGCCTCAGCCCACCTAGAGACGTAGTCAACAGCAACAAGGATATAGGTATTACCAAAAGATGGAGGGAAGGGGCCCATGAAGTCGATACCCCAGACATCAAAAATCTCACAAGTTATAAAAACATTCTGGGGATCTCATCACGGGCAGAGATGTTACCTGACCTCTGGCATCGGTCGCACCTGCGTGCGAAGGCGTCTGCGTCCCTGAAGAGCGTGGGCCAGTAAAAGCCCGACTGGAGCACCTTCCTCGCCGTGCGGTTCCCTCCGTGGTGACCACCAGCAGGTCCTTCATTACAGTGAGATAGAATGCCCTCCATCTCACACTCCATAACACATCGACGGATGATCCTGTCGGCTCCGATCCTGAAGAGATGAGGGTCATCCCAGTAGTAGTGCTTCAGGTCGGAGAAGAATTTTCTCTTGGCGTGAGTTGTCATCCCCTTGGGCAGCTGCTGGCCCACAAGATAGTTCGCAAAATCAGAATACCAGGGGGTGACACTCTTCACCAGGCACATCATCATCAGTCTCCCATCTGGGAAGGAGTCGTTGATCTCCTCCTCGAGGTTGTCCGCAGGGGGTGCGTCCAACCGGGAGAGGTGATCAGCAGGAACATTCTCCGCTCCCTTCTTGTCCCGAATCTCAATGTCAAACTCCTGCAGCAGTAAGATCCATCGTATGAGCCTAGGCTTGGCATCAGCCTTGCTCATCAAGTATCGAATCGCGGAGTGATCTGTATACACGGTCACATGGGACAAGACCAGATAAGGACGAAATTTATCGAAGGCAAACACCACCGCGAGCAGCTCCTTCTCCGTGGTGGGGTAGTTCTCTTGGGCATCATTCAGGGTCTTCGAGGCATAGTAGATAGGTCGGAAATGCTGATCTCGCCTCTGCCCCAATACAGCTCCAACAGCAAAGTCACTGGCATCGCACATAAGCTCAAATGGCAGGGACCAGTCAGGAACAACCATGATAGGAGCTTGAGTGAGCTTCTCCTTCAAGGTCGTGAAAGCCGTTGTGCATGCATCAGTGAACTGGAAGGGGGCATCCTTCTCTAGAAGCTTAGTTGATAACGATGTAATTGCACATATTTGCGCCCCTAGTTCTTATCCGTTTGAGGGGCATAGTCGTGTATTTTTGGCCTATTTTTCGCAGGGTTGTGCTATTTTGTCATATTTCAGGTCCCAGGCGTCAAAGGAAAGGCTAAGCACGAGTTTCGGGGCATTCGGAAGTCATTTCGTCGAGCTGGAGCCAAAACACGGGCACACCTAAAACAGAACACGCCCGTGTTCTGTGGCCGTGCTTTTACTGCCGAGAGCTAATTGAGTTTGGCGAATTCAAGCTGCAAACACGGGCTGAAAGCACGGCCGTGTCCATCAAAGCACGGTCGTGTCCTCCCAAAAGCACGGCCGTGTTTGCACCAACAGGCTGGCCGTGTAATTAACACTAGCCAAAGCACGGGCGGGCTGAGGCAAAGCACGGCCGTGCCCTCGACCGTGCTTTCGCAACTGATGCCCTTTTAAGCAGATTTCAGCCAAAACAGAAGGGGATTCGAGTTTTGAGAGAGATAGAGCGATTCCTAGAGAGAGAAAGCGACAAACAAGAGTCTCCAAGTGCCCTAGCTTGATCTTCATCACCATTGGAGGCCAGTTTGAGCTTGGAGAAGTGCCGATCAACGTCCAGGAGCAGGAATCCATCCTTCACAGTATGAATTCCGCGTCTGATTCTGCTTTTGCTTCTTTCTCCATGGAGTAGTTCTCCCATTCATCTGGGTATGGAGAACCCTAGATTTGTATGTTAGGTTTTGATTGTATGAACCCAAGTACTGATTCTATGATTTGATTATATTTGATTGAGGTTTGAATGATTGAATGACTTGAATCCTGATCAAATTCCTGTTGTTTCTACTTTAACCTAGAATGAGAATATCTGCCTAGGTTGATAGAGCATCCTTGATTGAAGGTAGGGAGTTGGTGACTTTAGTCGAGGAGCCAACTCACTATTCTGTACCAGATTCACTTCGGTAGTGGAGGTTTTGTTCATAGGGCCTCAATCTGTTTACTCCGGTGGAGGTTAGTCGCCCGCTAGAGACTCAGATTGAGAGGGTCTGAAGACCTTTAGTCGAGACTTCAGGCTATTTAAGAACCTTCCGCAGTATAACTTTCATAGAAACTGAACTTGGTAATTACAATCCGGCTTAACTGCAGTCTAGAGGGAACCATATCCGGGTGACCTCTCTTAACCTGAATACAACAGTTTACTTGCTTTGTTTGTTTGGTAGTTTAGACTTGCATTAAAGTTTCATTGCTAGATAACAAGAATTCACTGAGTAGTCATCAAATCTAGGACCCGGGTTGACATTTAAACCCAAACCCGCTATACTACGCTTTAGGAAGTGGTTTCACTTGGCCAATTCCCTGAGTGACAGTAGAAGTGAGTCAAGTTTTTGGCGCCGTTGCCGGGGACGGCTAGTTTGTTGAAGAAAAGTGATTTCTGTTAATTTAGCTTTTCTTTTTGCTTTGTTTGCTTTATCCCACTTGTGCCTTCACGGGTTTGCTTGCTTGAGTGTGTGTAGGTAGTGCATGACCCGTAGCCAGTAGGGAGGTTTACTGTCGTTGAATCCAGAGATTGAACGCACCTGTCGCCAACTCAGGAGACAACAGCGAGCTAGACTGGCTACGGAAGAGCGCATAGACGGCCACCTGAGCAGCGATTCTGAGGAAGAGTACAGGATGGACGGAGATTACAATCAACACCAGGGGAATCCTCAGCAGGCTCCCCTGGTGAATCAGGTCCTGGGGAACAACCCCATACCCCAGGATCATGGGGTTCATCATCCACCGCCGCCGGGTCCCACCTTGGAGTACTACTACATTCCACGGATTGCTGACATCCGCATGGTCATCCTCTATCCGCCTATTCCAGCAAACAACTTCGAGATCAAGCCATGCTGGATTCAGCTCATTACATCCTCTATCCAGTTCCATGGCTTGAAGGATGAGGAGGCCAGGGTGCATCTTTCCCGTTTTCTGCAGTTGACGAACGGGTTCAAGCTTAATGGTGTCCCTGATGATGCAATCCGCCTTCACCTTTTCCCCCATTCTCTGGCGGGGAATGCTAAGAGGTGGTTGGAGACCCAGCCCCCTTTGTCCATCACCTCTTGAGACGATCTGGCTGACAAGTTCGTGCACAGGTACTATCCGGCATCGAAGACTACAGAGATCCAGCGGGAGATCACTCACTTCCGCCAAGAGCCAGATGAGTCACTTCGTGATGCTTGGGAGCGGTACATGGGATACTTCTGGCAGTGTCCCCATCATGGCTTTAGTGATGCTTTCACAGTGGGGAACTTCTACAGTGCTCTCTCTCCAGACAGCCAGAGGGTGATTGAGTCTCTATGCCCAGGAGGGGATATTCTTACTAAGACTCCACCCGAGCTGAACCAGATGATCAATACCTTGGCTGCCAGAGATCATTCTTGGGGACAGAGCAGCAGAGGCAGACATTCCTGGGACCGTGGTGTGCACGCCATGGAGACCAGATCCGGGCTCGAGCAGCAGGTAGCTGAGCTCGTGCAGACATTGAAGCAGCCCAACAGTCTTATTCCGGGCAGAGGTTTGGCTACACCTCCAGTTGCTCAATGTCAGTGGTGTGAGAGCTTGAATCACTTAGTGGAAGACTGCCATGCTATGAGGGATTCTACCACTCCCCAAGAGCAGTTGGACTTCATCGCCAATGCTCGGCGCCTCGACCCGTACAGCAACACATATAATGAGGGGTGGCGCCAGCATCCCAACTTCGCTTGGGGCAGCAACACCACTAAGCCACCTGGTTTCCCAGCACCAGCTGGTGGCTTTCAGCAGAGGCAGCCCTTCCAGGCTCGACAGGGGCCAGCCCCACAACAGCAGCCCTACCAGCCTAGGCAGGGGCAACCATTCCAGCAGCCCCAGCGCCAGTTCGCCGAGCCAGCAGCAGATCCGGCCCCAGATGACCGGATGACAAAGCTGGAAAATATTCTAGCTTCATTCATGACTAGCACTCAGGCTGCTATCACGTCACTAGAGGCAGGTCAGCGGAACCAGGGTGCCATTTTGCAAGATCTGCAGACCCAGGTGGGCATCTTGGCCCGCCAAAACACTACTAGGGCACCGGGGACTCTACCTGCCACCACTATCCCGAATCCTCGGGATCCTCACCAACTCCAGCAGCTGGATGCCATTTTTACCAGGAGCGGTAAGACCATATCTGCTGATCCTGTCCCGGCCAGTCAGGAGGAACCACTACCTGCTTCAGCACTTCCAGCCGACGATGCAGAAGTGCGGGTGGAGAAGGAGGCCCTTGCTCCCAAGCCACAACCAGTAGTTAAGGAGCATGTACCCCAGCTTCCCTTCCCCACTCGCCTACACAAAGACAAGTTGGAGACTGAGTTTGCCAAGTTTATGGCAATGTTGAAGCAGCTCAACATCAGCATACCGTTCGTGGAGGCACTGTCGAAGATGCCCAAGTATGCCAAGTTCATGAAAGATCTCCTCACCAACAAGAAGAAACTTGGGGATCTCTGGACAGTGTTGCTGAGCGAGGAGTGTTCTGCTATCCTACAGAACAAGCTGCCCGAAAAGCGCAAGGATCCAGGGAGTTTTACTATCCCTCTTACTATTGGCAGCATGCATGTAGGCAAGTCCTTGGCGGACCTAGGCGCTAGCATAAATGTCATGCCATATAAGTTGTATACAAAGCTAGACCTAGGTGAACTTAGCCCTACTAGAATGAGCATTCAGCTAGCTGATCGTTCCATTGTGCATCCTAGGGGAATCATAGAGGATTTGCTTGTCAGTGTCGGTGCATTCACATATCCTGTTGATTTTGTTATTCTTGATATACATGAGGATGTGGATGTGACTTTGATTCTGGGTAGACCATTTCTTGCCACCGCCAAGGCACTTATTGATGTGCATGATGGTAAACTGATCCTGCGTGCTGGGAATGAACAGGCTACTTTTTCTGTGACTGAATTTGATCACTGTGCTATGATTGCTGTCACGCCTGTACATGCCATTTCTGATCAGGTACACGATCCTGTCGTGTATCCTTCGCCGCCACTCCATCCAGTCTCGCCTCCGAACAAAAAGCTCAAGGAGGAGTGGCGGCCGAAGCAGCAGGTTGCTAAGCCTGCACGGAAGAAGGGTGGAGACCACTACGAGCTGGTCCCACCTCCTGCACCACGACCACCCTGGTCGTCCGGGTACTCACTCGCCTGCATCTTGCCGGATGGCCAGGTCGAGCTGACCGATGATGGTGGTCGCATCCGTCGGGTGCATGGCCACAACCTGAAGCTGTACCTCAAGAGCGACGTGGATCCGCTCTTGGAGGCACCTGTTCCTTCACTTCCCTGAGTATCCACCATGGGCGTCCAGCTAAAAGACGGTAAAGAAGCGCTTGTGGGGAGGCAACCCCACCATGGTTTGACTCTCTTTCTTGTGTTGAGTCCGATTGTAAACCAGTTTGGTTTTGGTTTGTTTTCTTTTGTTTTGGATGATGTCTTATTGGGCTGACATTGGACCTAACATATTGTGTTTGAGCCCTTCTGTTCCCCTTTAGCTGTGCTTTGTTCCAGACTGGTCTCTCTCCAGTCCGCTTCACTCCGACTGGTCCGTTTCCAGTCTCCTGCAGTCCGTGCATACCGGTAACATCGTTCCCCTCTCCCTTCCCTCTTCTCCATTGAGGGCAATGTCGATCTTAAGTGTGGGTGGATGTTTATCTTTTGACTGCGTTAAATCTGTTTGTGTGCTTGGAGCCTAGTCCACTGTCCAAATTTTTAAATTTGAGGGCTCCAAGTACGTGTTCCGTGCAATTGCCTGCTCAGTATGCTTTGAATTGACAGTCTTTATAGTAATATGCAACCTAGGGAGGTAGTGTATCACTATGGAGGATGTTGATGCATTTAAGAAGTCTCATTTCTTCTTCATATTGTGTTGGTTGAATGAGTGAATTAGTGATCTTAGGACCCTTGAATTGTGTGGTGTTGTGGACTCTCTACCTGTCATGGACTCTTGTATCATGTTTTGAAAATAACAAGTGCTCGAAAATGTGCTTCAAAATAACGTCTCCCGTGCGAATAAGGCGAAAGTGTGTAAGGGGAGACGGGAATTCGTTCCCAATTTCCACCTACTACCTCCAGCCCCCTTACATGTCTTTCCCCCGCACGAGGCTCGAGACATCCGCTCCTGGCATGGCCGGTAAGAGCAGGTTGGGACCCTTGAAAGAAAAAAAAAAGAAAAAAATAACAGAAAACAAGCAAAACAGAAAGAAAAGGGGTTCCAACCATCTTCAAGAAGAAAATAGAGCACTTTGAAAAATGTGAGCCCATGATTCTTTGTTTTTGAGAATCTCTTCATCCACAATTCATTTGTCCTCTGTTCACTATTTGCCATGATGCCGACTTGATACTAGTGCTCTCGCCGAAGAAGCTAAGAGATGACTTGTGCGTCGGTTGACCTCGTAAGCTGCTAAATGATCTAGGAAGTCCTCTACCTACGATCTGGGTTGTTTGTTGCTATAGAGGTCTGGAGAGTTGCATTGGTTTGAGTTAGGTTTGCTTAGGGACAAGCAAACGGTTAAGTGTGGGGGAATTTGATAACGATGTAATTGCACATATTTGCGCCCCTAGTTCTTATCCGTTTGAGGGGCATAGTCGTGTATTTTTGGCCTATTTTACGCCGGGTTGTGCTATTTTGTCATATTTCAGGTCCCAGGCATCAAAGGAAAGGCTAAGCACGAGTTTCGGGGCATTCGGAAGTCATTTCGTCGAGCTGGAGCCAAAACACGGGCACACCTAAAACAAAACACGGCCGTGTTCTGTGGCCGTGCTTTTACTGCCGAGAGCTAATTGAGTTTGGCGAATTCAAGCTGCAAACACGGGCTGAAAGCACGGCCGTGTCCATCAAAGCACGGCCGTGTCCTCCCAAAAGCACGGCCGTGTTTGCACCAACAGGGTGGCCGTGTAATTAACACTAGAAGCACGGGCGGGCTGAGGCAAAGCACGGCCGTGCCCTCGACCGTGCTTTGGCCACTGATGCCCTTTTAAGCAGATTTCAGCCAAAACAGAAGGGGATTCGAGTTTTGAGAGAGATAGAGCGATTCCTAGAGAGAGAAAGCGACGAACAAGAGTCTCCAAGTGCCCTAGCTTGATCTTCATCACCATTGGAGGCCAGTTTGAGCTTGGAGAAGTGCCGATCAACGTCCAGGAGCAGGAATCCATCCTTCACAGTATGAATTCCGCGTTTGATTCTGCTTCCGCGTCTGATTCTGCTTTTGCTTCTTTCTCCATGGAGTAGTTCTCCCATTCATCTGGTATGGAGAACCCTAGATTTGTATGTTAGGTTTTGATTGTATGAACCCAAGTACTGATTCTATGATTTGATTATATTCGATTGAGGTTTGAATGATTGAATGACTTGAATCCTGATCAAATTCCTGTTGTTTTCTGCTTTAACCTAGAATGAGAATATCTTCCTAGGTTGATAGAGCATCCTTGATTGAAGGTAGGGAGTTGGTGACTTTAGTCGAGGAGCCAACTCACTATTCTGTACCAGATTCACTTCGGTAGTGGAGGTTTTGTTCATAGGGCCTCAATCTGTTTACTCCGGTGGAGGTTAGTCGCCCGCTAGAGACTCAGATTGAGAGGGTCTAAACACCTTTAGTCGAGACTTCAGGCTGTTTAAGAACCTTCCGCAGTATAACTATCATAGAAACTTAACTTGGTAATTACAATCCGGCTTAACTGCAGTCTAGGGGGAACCATATCCGAGTGACCTCTCTTAACCTGAATACAACAGTTTACTTGCTTTGTTTGTTTGGTAGTTTAGACTTGCATTAAAGTTTCATTGCTAGATAACAACTGAGTAGTCATCAAATCTAGGACCCGGGTTGACATTTAAACCTAAACCCGCTATACTACGCTTTAGGAAGTTGTTTCACTTGGCCAATTCCTGGAGTGACAGTAGAAGTGAGTCATTAGTCAGGGGCAGGGCAATCTTCGAGAAATCCTTGATGAACCGCCTGTAGAACCCTGCATGACCAAGAAAACTCCGAATCCCCTTAACAGATGTAGGAGGAGGCAGCTTGCTGATAGTCTTGATCTTCGCTCTGTCCACCTCAATCCCCATCATGGAGATCTTATGCCCAAGAACTATGCCTTCTCGAACCATGAAGTGACACTTCTCCCAACTCAGTGCCAGGTTCGTTTCTTCACACCGTTTAAGGACAAGCTCCAGGTTATGGAGATAGTGAGAGAATGAGTCTCCATAAACCGAGAAATCGTCCATAAACACCTCCATAATCTCGCCGACCAGACGGTCAAAGATAGCGAGCATGCATCGCTGAAAAGTGGCCGGGGCATTGCATAGCCCGAATGGGATCCTCCGGTAGGCAAAGGTGCCGAAGGGGCAGGTGAAAGTGGTCTTTGCCTGGTCCTCCGGTGCAATAGGGATCTGGAAGTACCCGGACATCCCATCCAGGAAACAGTAGAACTCGTGCCCCGCCAGTCTCTCCAGCATCTGATCAATGAATGGTAGCGGGAAGTGGTCCTTCCGAGTGGTGTCGTTGAGACGCCAGTAATCAATGCAGACACGGTACCCAGTCACCGTGCGCATCAGGATCAGCTCATTCTTCTCGTTAGGCACCACAGTCATCCCACCCTTTTTGGGTACCACCTGGGTGGGACTGACCCACTCGCTGTCGGAAATGACGAAGATGATCCCCGCGTCCAGCAGCTTCACGATCTCTGCCCGAACCACAGCCTCCAGGTTCGGTGTCAGTCTTCTCTGCGGCTGTCTCACTGGCCGCATCTCATCCTCCATCAATATCCGGTGGGAGCAGAAGGAAGGGCTGATCCCCCGGATGTCTGTGATCTTCCACGCCAGAGCTCGCTCATACTATTTCAGCAAGGTCACCAGTCTGGTCTTCTGCTCGGGTGTGAGGGTCGAGCTGATTATGACTGGCAGCTTATTCCCCTCTCGGAGAAATGCATACTCCAAATGAGGAGGGAGGGGCTTAAGCTCCAGCTCTGGTGGTTCCTCCAAGGAAGTAGCGATGCGGGTGGAGGATGAGATCGGTTTGAACAGCCTGCCTCTAGTGAGGCTACGCTCTGGTCCAACCTCGTGATAGTTGCCTGAGTGCTAGTCATGAATGAAGCTAGAATATTCTCCAGCTTCGTCATCTGATTATCTGGGGCCGGAGCTGCTGCTGGCTCGGCAAACTGGCGCTGGGGCTGCTGGAATGGTTGCCCCTGCCTAGGCTAGTAGGGCTGCTGCTGTGGGGCTGGCCCCTATCGAGCCTGGAAGGGCTGCCTCTGCTGAAAACCACCAGCTGGCGCTGGGAAACCAGGTGCTTTAGTGCAGTTGTTGCTCCAAGCGAAATTGGGATGCTGGCGCCACCCCTCATTATATGTATTGTTGTACGGGTCGAGGCGCCGAGCATTGGCGATGAAGTCCAACTGCTCTTGGGAAGTAGTAGACTCCCTCATAGCCTGACAGTCTTCCACTAAGTGATTTGAGCTCTCACACCACTGACATTGAGCTACTGGAGGTGTAGCCAAACCTCTGCCCGGAATAAGACTGTTGGGCTGCTTCAATGTCTGCACCAACTCAGCTACCTGCTGCTTGAGCCCGGATCTGGACTCCATGGCGTGCACACCACGGTCCCGGGAATGTCTGCCTCTGCTACACTGTCCCCAAGAATGATCTCTGGCAGCCAAGGTATTGATCATCTGGTTCAGCTCGGGTGGAGTCTTAGTAAGAATATCCCCTCCTGGGCATAGAGACTCAATCACCCTCTGGCTATCTGGAGAGAGGGCACTATAGAAGTTCCCCACTGTGAATGCATCACTGAAGCCATGATGGGGACACTGCCAGAAATATCCCATGTACCGCTCCCATGCATCACGAAGTGACTCATCTGGCTCTTGGCGGAAGTGAGTGATCTCCCGCTGGATCTCTGTAGTCTTCGATGCCGGATAGTACCTGTGCACGAATTTTTCAGCCAGGTCGTCCCAAGAGGTGATGGACAATGGGGGCTGGGTCTCCAACCACCTCTTAGCATTCCCCGCCAGAGAATGGGGGAAGAGATGAAGGTGGATTGCATCATCAGGGACACCATTCAGCTTGAACCCGTTCGTCAGCTGCAGAAAACGGGAAAGATGCACCCTGGCCTCCTCATCCTTCAAGCCATGGAACTGGATAGAAGATGTAATGAGCTGAATCCAACATGGCTTGATCTCAAAGTTGTTTGCTGGAATAGGCGGGTAGAGGATGACCGGGCGGATGTCAGCAATCCGTGGAGTGTAGTAGTACTCCAAGGTGGGACTCGGCGGCGGTGGATGATGATGAACCCCATGATCCTGGGGTATGGGGTTGTTCCCCAGGACCTGATTCACCGGGGGAGCCTGCTGAGGATTCCCCTGGTGTTGATTGTAATCTCCGTCCATCATGTACTCTTCCTCAGAATCGCTGCTCAGGTGGCCGTCTATTCGCTCTTCCGTAGCCAGTCTAGCTCGATGTTGTCTCCTGAGTTGGCGACAGGTGCGTTCAATCTTTGGATTCAACGGCAGTAAACCTCCCGACTGGCTACGGGTCATGCACTACCTGCACACACTCAAGCAAGCAAACCCGTGAAGGCACAAGTGGGATAAAGCAAACAAAGCGAAAAGAAAAGCTAAATTAACAGAAATCACTTTTCTTCAACAACCTAGCCGTCCCCGGCAACGGCGCCAAAAACTTGACTCACTTCTACTGTCACTCTAGGAATTGGCCAAGGTAACCACTTCCTAAAGCGTAGTATAGCGGGTTTGGGTTTAAATGTCAACCCGGGTCCTAGATTTGATGACTACTCAGTGAATTCTTGTTATCTAGCAATGAAACTTTAATGCAAGTCTAAACTAACAAACAAACAAACAAAGCAAGTAAACTGTTGTTTTCAGGTTAAGAGAGGTCACCCGGATATGGTTCCCCCTAGACTGGAGTTAAGCCGGATTGCAATTACCAAGTTTAGTTTCTATGATAGTTATACTGCGGAAGGTTCTTAAACAGCCTGAAGTCTCGACTAAAGGTCTTCAGACCCTCTCAATCTGAGTCTCTAGCGGGCGACTAACCTCCACCGGAGTAAACAGATTGAGGCCCTAACAACAAAACCTCCACTACCGAAGTGAATTCGGTACAGAATAGTGAGTTGGCTCCTCGACTAAAGTCACCAACTCCCTACCTTCAATCAAGGATGCTCTATCAACCTAGGCAGATATTCTCATTCTAGGTTAAAGCAGAAACAACAGGAATTTGATCAGGATTCATGCCATTCAATCATTCAAACCTCAATTGAATATAATCAAATCATAGAATCAATACTTGGGTTCATACAATCAAACCTAACATACAAATCTAGGGTTCTCCATACCCAGATGAATGGGAGAACTACTCCATGGAGAAAGAAGCAAAAGCAGAATCAGACGCGGAAATCATACTGTGAAGGATGGATTTCTTCTCCTGGACGTTGATCGGCACTTCTCCAAGCTCAAGCCAAGCTCCAATGGTGATGAAGATCAAGCTAGGGCACTTGGGAACTCTTGTTCGTCGCTTTGTCTCTCTAGGAATCGCTCTGTCTCTCTAAAACTCGAACCCCCTTCTGTTTTGGCTGAAATCTGCTTAAAAGGGCATCACTGGGCAAAACACGGTCGAGGGCACGACCGTGTTTTGCCTCAGCCCGCCCGTGTTTTGCCAAGGGTTAATTACACGGCCAGACTGTTGGGGGAAAACACGGGCGTGCTTTTGGTGGACACGGCCGTGTTTTTCCTCAACCCTGCTCGTGTTTTGAGCTCGTGTTTTTCAACCCCATATCAAGTCTCGGCAGTAAAAGCACGGCCTAGGAACACGGCCGTGTTCTGCTTTAGGTGTGCCCGTGTTTTGGCTCCAGCTCCACCGAATGACTTCCGAATGCCCCGAAACTCGTGCTTAGCCTTTCCTTTGACGCCTGGGACCTGAAATATGACAAAATAGCACAACCCGGCGTAAAATAGGCCAAAAATACACGACTATGCCCCTCAAACGGATAAGAACTAGGGGCGCAAATATATGCAATTACATCGTTATCACTTGGAGACAAGTAAATGGCTAAGTGTGCGGGAATTTGATAATGCCTTGATTACAAATTTTTTATTCCCTCATTTATATATCATTTGAGCTCAATTTCTTTCATGTTAAGCTAATTTACGCTAGATTGTGCTCTTTTATCGCATTTTAGGTCCTAGCGAGTAAGGGAGTCTTATGTGCAAGTTTCAGATAATTTAGAGATCGTTTGGCGACTCGAAAGTGGACCAGGGGAAGAAACGTGGGCATGGCCTTCAGAAAGACGAGATGAAGAAGCCAGACCGCGTTTTACAGCTCGTGTAACCCATGTCGAGGCAAAACATGGGCTAGACAAGCAGTGAAACACGACCGTGTTTCTCCAAGTTTAGGTCATGTTTCATATGCAGAGAAGAATCATATGAAATCTCCAAAACATGGGTTGAGGCAATACATGAGGACAGACCGTGTTTTGCCTTGGAGAGCTCGTGTTTTCCAGCTGAAGAAACTTAAGTGAAATGAGGGGCACTAACCAAAACATGGGTTGGGCCAAAACACGGGTAAGGAACACGTCTGTGTTTTTCCCAGCTACATAGTTAAGTGGAAATTTCGTGTAACATCCCGTTCCGGCAAAATCCATATCTTGATCGCTAAAAATTCGCGATTTAAAATCGAGCGTTTTGATAGTATTTCGACAAAAAGTGGATTATCAATCGATCGGATAAGTATACGTATTAATTTTATATATATATATATATATATATATATATATATATATATATAATATTATATATATACAAGCGGTCACACAGACCACTTATATAAACTCCCCCTCCATTAATTCCCATCATCGTCATCATCTTTTTCCATTTTCTAGACCGAGAGCAGAACGAGCAGAGGGCGCTCAGGGGAAGCGAGAGGGAAAATCTCATAGCTCAATTCTTGAGCATAAGTGATCCAAAAATCCCGTAAGTAATGCCTAATTCATCTATACATCGTGATTTATCGATTTAGAGCTTTAAAACGAGTTTTTGGTTCAGGAATTTCTTGATTTCCCGATAAGCCAAATTAGAGTTTTGGAGTATCTGGAAGCCGGATTAAGCCCAAATTTCACATACGAACTTCTTGCAACGAGGTAATTAATACTCTGGTTCTAATCCATGAATTTTGGCTATTAATTAGGTCGGAGCTGGAATCACTGAATTTAGCTCCGGCCAGGGTTTGGTGTGTTTTTATCGAGAATTTGATCTGAAGCTTAGTACTAACATTGACGGGGATACTGCAGGGGATATTAGGACAATCTCGGATTTTGATTCCGAGTTTGTTTGAGAACAGTGAAGTTTAGTTCGGGAGGCTAAAACCGGTTTTAAATTCCGCTGCAGTTGTATGAACATTATGATTAGGCAAAGCGTACAGGGTAGGGTGTTACAGTTTGGTATCAGAGTTGGGTTTGTTTTCTGCATTATGGGTATGTTACTTTCACTCTTGAGGACTGATCACCCTCGAAAGGGGAGAGAGTACTCCATACCTGTACTTGCACTAAACTTGCCAGGAATTGAGACCATGGGTGATGATGTGTTGCATAGTCAGTTGCATTTGGTCAAAAATGATTTTGAGGTTATGGTTTAAAGGGTTTGAAAATTTTATGGAGATTTTATCTTGTTTTCTAAATTATTATTTTGGAGGAAGTTTTAATGGTGTGTGGATCAAGTTATGGCCAATATTTCCTTGGAGCTCGCACAGAAGTTGTTCTAGAAATCCTACTAACCAATCGAGAAGCATTGTGGCTAGCTATGTAATGCACTTGAATTTAGACTATGTTAACACGAAGAGTAGTGGTGGTAGAGATTTTAATAGAGACATGATTCTTGATGCAGTGGTGACAACCATTTTGTAGGTTGATATAACCTTGTGTTATTGGCAACCTACCTTGCAGGTTAATAACTTGGTTTAGTGAATTATGCTTTTGAACTTGTTGATGTGCTTATGTTGTGATAACCCAGTATAGGTTTTTGAAACTTTATATTGGGAACTTGAGGTGTTATGTGTTTATTTATGTACTTCATATCTCCTAACCTAAGAGTTAAGTAGTAACAAGATATGTGGTAGTATATGTTAGGATGGGAACGGACAGATGCGATAATCAACTCAAGGTTAGATTTCGGGAACGAAATATTTTTAAGGAGGGGAGAATTGTAACATCCCGTTCCATCAAAACCCATATCTTGATTGCTAGAAATTCAAGATTTAAAATCAAGCGTTTTGATATTATTTCGACAAAAATAGGATTATCAATCCATCATATAAGTATATGTATTAATTATATATATTATATATATAAAAGCGGTCACACAGACCACTTATATAAACTTCCCCGTCCATTAATTCCCATCATCGTCATCATCTTTTTCCATTTTCTGGACCGAAAGCAGAAGGAGCAGAGGGCGATCAGGGGAAGCGAGAGGGAAAATCTCAGAGCTCAATTCTTGAGCATAAGTGATCCAAAATATCGTAAGTAATGCCTAATTCATCTATACATCGTGATTTATCGATTTAGAGCTTTAAAACGAGTTTTTGGTTCAGGAATTTCTTGATTCCCCGATAAGCCAAATTAGGTTTTTGGAGTATCTGAAAGCCGAATTAAGTCCAAATTTCATATACGAGCTTCCTGCAGCGAGGTAATTAATCCTCTGGTTCTAATCCATGAATTTCGGCTATTAATTAGGTCGGAGCTGGAATCGCTGAATTTAGCTCCGGCCAGGGTTTGATGTGTTTTTATCGAGAATTTGATCTGAAGCTTAGTACTAACATTGACGGGGATACTGCGCAGGGGATATTAGGACAATCTCGGATTTTGATTCCGAGTTTGTGTGAGAAAAGTGAAGTTTAGTTCGAGAGGCTAAAACCGGTTTTAAATTCCGCTGCAGTTGTATGAGCATTATGATTAGCCAAAGCGTACAAGGTAGAGTGTTACATTTCGGTTTTTCTCGAGGGATTCGACTTTACAACAAAAACAAAGCTCTATAGAGAGAAAGTAACGAAGAACCTTAACTTGGAGCATATTTGAGCCGAGATCTCACCGTTAGAGCTTGAATTTCGCCCCTCGAAGAGCTTATTGACATCCCGAAGAAGATCATATACATCTTTATGAGTATGACTACTTCGATTATGGTTTTCCTCTCTCCCTCTATGGAGTAATCTCCTCTCTAACTTGGGTATGAAGAACCCTATTTCTATGTGCAGGAGACGGATTTTATGAACCTTTGGATTGGTGAATTGATTGATTATATTGAATTGAGATTTTATTCATGATTGATTGAATCTTGATCACATTCTTTTGATTACTGCTTCAACCTAGGAGACAGAAAGTCTGATTGGGTTAAGAGAGCATCCTCAATTGGAAATAGTCAGTCGATTGTACAAATAATGATTTGATTCACTGCTCTGTACTAGACTTCATTCCAGTAAAAGAAGTCTATTTACATTATCTTGGCATATTATCTCCCTCTGACTAATCAATTTAATTAGGATTGGCTTGCTTTAGTCGAGATTCCAAGCTGATACCAGACTTTCTGTAGTGTAATTATCAATGAATTAAACCAAGGGAATTTCAAATTTGACCTAACTACGTACTAGGGAGCGCATACCTGAGTGATCCTTTATATCTGAAAATCAAATCAGCGTTCTTAGCTTTGTCCCTTTAGTTTTGGTAACTTTACTACAACTACTTTGCTAGATTAATATTGTTCACCGAGTAATAATATATCTAGGCCCCGGGTTGACATTATAACTTTATTCCACTATACTACTCCCTGATTTTCTTGTTACACTTGGCCACTAATTAAGGTTTTGGTAAAAGCGAGTCAAAGAGCAACCAACGACTCAATCCAAAAAGGTTCCCCAACCTAGACCAAACCAGTTGGACATACACTCCCTGTGCTCACAAAAGACCTGGAGTCCTAGACAATGATAGAAAGTTCCACAACTCTCGCCTCTTGGCTGAACCCACTTCAAGAACCGCACGACCCAAGCGTCCTGACCCTAGGAAGTAGGGCATGACTACTCAGTCGAACTTAATAGGTGCATGACCAGGGAGTATAGGCCGGCTCACACATAAATAAGAGCGCTTGGTGACAACTAACCCCCCTTGAGTCGCGAATAGTAAATTCTCCTGTCGCATGAGTCATCTTGCAAATGAATGATTCACTTATCACCCTTTCACATGAGGGTGGTCTGTGCAAGAAAAAAAAGGAATAACGATCTCTCCCATGTGTGAAAGGGATATAGAATTCTAAGGGACATGCAGACAGTGGCGTAGCTAGGATTTTGGGTAAGGGGGTGACAACTTAAAAAAAATTAAAGTGACTGCCAATTTTTAAGAGTGACCCATGACGAATTCTCATAGTTTGAAAAATCTGTAAAATTCATAATCAGACTATCAAGAATGTTACTCTCAATGTATCCTACCAAAAAAATCATTCATGATATCGTCACTCATTCCACTCCGAAGAATGTTTTTCACGTAGTTCATTGCCAAAAGGAAAGAAGAACGAAAGAAGATGAAAGGTGGGACTAGGAGAAGTCTTACTTGTTAGGGCTAACGTTCCGATTACTGCTTGAATAAGGATACAATTATGAGTTTTTTAATTTACTTATTATTTGTAAACGTAAGTTAATTATAATATTGGGGTTCCATGTTCAAATCCTAGTTATAACATAAACTAATACCCCTATTTTTTATGTTCTAGTCTCAATCCAAGAGTGTGCCATGGAACACCCTATATACATGCTACCTCCGCCCCTGCATGCAGATTGTTTGTTCGTACTTGAATCAATCCTACATACCATATCTAGCAGATTAGGCATGCGGAAAATCCTAATGCTCCTTTTAAATATCGGGCCTCTAATCTTCATTTGGGTAACACATTTATGATAAAAAAAATAGTCAAAATATATTCACAACGTACTTCATTTTTTTAAATTTTATCTGAACTTATTCGAAATCCAATTCCAAAAAAGTTTGAAAATTATTTAATTCAACCATGATATTTGATTCTAAATATAAAAATGCTTTAGTAAAAAAAAAGTAATAATGCAAAAGTTCCCGAAAGATTAATCCGTTTATCATCCTTTGTGCAACCTTAAGTAGTGATGACTTTTATGATAAAAAAGAAAACAGTGATGACTTTTCTGATATCTCGCATACACACTGCCCCGCGTAAACCTAGAGATGGCAACGGGGCGGATCGGGGCCGGGTACCCCGGATCCGTTGCCCGCCCACCATGGGCCTCGGGTATCCCTGTCCCCGGCCCAAACGGACATTCGGGCCATGTTGGGCAACCATCCCAAAACCCAATGGGTATTCGGGTGCCCGCGGGTCCATTGTACCCGCTAAAACATGAACAAAAAATTGAAAATATTCTGGAAAACTGGACTCTTCTCACTGTATTATTAATAACTGATCTGTCAAAGACTCAAAAGGACTTGAAATGAAAAACAAAAAGCTTGCCAAGCTGCAATTGTTGCCACTACACCAGCAGCTCAGCAACAACAACCAAAAACAAACATTTATTTCGTGTATCACTGATAGAAATTATCAAATCAACCAAACAACCAACAAGTATCAGCAGACTCTGAATTCTAAATGTCTAATTCTTAAGAAAAAACTGTATAATGAAATGTGTTCCAAGCAACAGCAGCGCAGCAACATTCCATCTAGGTTCCAGCAACATCGAATCATTGAGCAATCTGCAATCATCCACCCGACCACCCCTGACCCTCATTCCAATCGATGTAAACCAGCAGTCTAGCAGACATCAATTGAAACTGTGTAAAGAACATACAAGAGGAATGAATCAGTTAGTAAATGTCCAATGAATAACACGTATGCATCAACGACAACAAATAAAGACCTTTACCTTGGTCCCACAGCAGATTACCAATCACTCTTCATGGGCAAATGGTGATCTCATTAAGGTGAGTTCTGGATCTGAAAAAGGGAAACAATGCAAAGGTAAGTATTCCTAAATGAACTAATAAAAATTAGAACACACAATGGAATTATGGAAAAATGATCTATTGATCTTACCACCAGGTTCTGCCTCTTCCACAGTTGTATCTTCGACTGTCATTGTTGAGAAGAGTCCATCCAATGCCTCCACAGCAGCCTCCGAATCTGCAGAGAACCAGTTCAATGAGTACATACTGTTGTTAAACGTAAAACAATAAATTTGAGAGTTTTAGTTGCATGTTACCTCGTTGCATGTCCTCCATTATCCAACTCCTAGTACACATCATTGCCTCAACAGTCGAATAATGCAGCCTGCTCCGGTGAGGGTCTAACAACCTCCCACCAGAACTAAATGCACTCTCAGAAGGCACAGAAGTAATAGGGATTGCCAGAAAGTCCCTTGCAATTGATTGCAAGGTGGGATACTTCAAACCATTCAATTTCCACCACAAGAGCAGATCAAACTCTGCTGTGCGAGGAATGATATCCTCAGCAAGGTACATATCCAACTCAGTTGTAATCAAGGAAGTCTTACTCTTTTTCCTTTGACTTACAAAGAGTTCAAAGTCAAGTTCAGTGGCAGAGGCAGATCCAGAACCAGAAGAAGTTCCAGTTTCAGAACCAGATTTGTTCTCAGCTTTAGTTTGATAATCACGAATCAAACCACATATCATTTGCTTGATATTCTCAGCAACCAAATCAGTTTCTGTATTCCCAAACTTTCCAGCATAGTTTTCAATCACATGGAGTTTATATCTAGGATCCAAAACAACCGATACAGCAAGCACAAGATGTATATCATCCCAATACTTATCAAACTTCATGGACATTTGACTAGCCATTCCAAATATCACAGGATTGGGATCAACACCCCACTCATTCAGTTTAAGTCTGAGATCACAAATCTTGGGGAAAAACAGATTGGCAGTGGGATATTTGGAACCAGAGAACAACTCAGTAATCTCAGAAAAGATTTCCAGCTTCCCAATCACAGTAGAAGCAAATTCCCATTGTTCACTAGAAGGAACTGATGTGTAATGATTGTCTCTCAAACTCAAACGAAAGAACACATCCTTGTAGGGAATAGCAACAGAGAGCATATGATAGGTGGAATTCCACCTGGTTGGACAATCAAGGACTAATTTTCTCTCAACAGACAGCTTAAGTTGCTTAGCAACTTCGAAGAAGGTTTGAACCCTCTTAGGTGTAGAATTCCAGTAAACTACACTCTCCCTAATCAAATTTATAGCATCCTTGATTGCATCCAAACCATCCCTTACAATCAAATTCAGAATATGAGCAGAACACCTCATATGAACCAATTTACCATCAAGCAACAAGTCACTGCTCAGAAGCTTATTTCTCATGTGGAAAATCATGGAATCATTGGTGGTACAGTTGTCCAATGTGATTGAGGACAACTTACCATCAATGTTCCAATCCAAAAGACAATCAAACAACCTATCAGCAAGCCTTTCACTAGTGTGAGGGGCTGGAACATACATAAATCTCAGCATTATGTTACGCAGCTTCCAAGAATTATCAATGAAGTGACCAGTTACTGCCATATAACCCCTTTTCTGATTTCTGGCAGTCCACAAATCAGTTGTAACAGAAACCCTCCCCAGATTACCATCAATAATGGTCTGATATTTACCTCTTTCAACACCAAACAAACTCAAAATGTCCTTTTTGACAGTGTTTCTACTAGGAACAGCGAATTGAGGTTGAAGAGAACAGCAAAAACGTTTGAAACCCACATGATCAACAAGGCTAAGGGGGTACTCATGGACCAGAATCATTGAACAAAGTTCCTTCCTAGAAACCTCATAATTGTATTGAGAAGCAGAGAGTTGAGGATTTCCAGCAAGTTTATAGTTAGGGCCAAGTATTTTTTAAGAACCATCTTGTATCCTCTTTTGGATACATGTTTTGATATGGCTTCTTAGGTGTGAAGTTCCATTACTTGTTTCCCCACCAAGGGATTTACGACAGTACTTACACCTAGCCTTCATAACCCCATTAACCCTAACTCGGTTAAAGTGAGGCCACACATCAGAGGTTAACTTACGTTGAGCTTCAAGCTCCTCAACATTACCAGGTTGTTCAGGTTGAGGTTGGACAGGTTGTTCAGGGACATTGACATTGGGAGCAAGGTCAACATTTATAGCAGTAGGAGCACCTTCCATCTGAACATAAAAAATTTATGTATTACTACTTAAGCAGTTAAGCGTTAGTTATTATTTATTAACTTAGTTACATTCACATTTCACAATGACAAGACTACACTTGCAAACAAAAATCTTTAGCATCAAAATCACGATTACAGTTTCATTAATTTTACTTATTAGCATTACTTATCAACTGATTGTCACAACAGCATTATAATCAAACAGACAACACAGTGAGTTGAGGCTTAGGAGAGGAGGACGGGATTACCTTCTCAATTGTAGTTTTTATGTGGACTGTCGAGTACCCAATGACAGTAGATTGACCCTCACTGCTCACTGAAGTGCTCACTGACTCTGTTCCACTTCAGTTCTCGATACCAGATCCAACCTAGGCCAAACAAGAGTGAACAATTACAACGAACACAAAGCATTAGAACTTAGAAGTTAGAACTGCAATTCTGCAAATGAATGCATGCATGTCTGTATTGACACCACTAACCCATAAATTAATAAAAAGTATAGACGAGAGACCAAGCAACTTACCCTCGATGACTGGACTTTGTTCCACTTCAGTTCTCAAAACCAGATCCAACCTAGGCCAAACAAGAGTGAACAATTACAACGAAAACAAAGAAAGTTAGAACTTAGAAGTTAGAACTGCAAATGAATGCATGCATGTCTGTATTGACACCACTAACCCATAAATTAATAAAAAGTATACACAAGAGACCAAGCAACTTACCCTCGATGACTGGACTTTGTCTGGACTCTGGAGGCTCGGCTAAATCCCTCGATCTCTGCTCTCTCACTCTCTGTGGACTCGACTGGGGTGGTCTTGTTCTCGATTTCAGAAGATGGCGTGGCGAGAAACGACCCCTCCGCTCTGAATCCCCCTATATATACCAGTACAAGAAGAGTTAGTATAGAGTTGGGGAACGGGGAATCAGGGAAGATAGGTGAAAGAAAAGAAAGCAACCCATAATTAACTTATCTTTTCGACTCGAAGAATCCGCGATTTGAACTTCGAACGCCTCGTTTTTGGACTGCGGCCGACGAAATCTTCGTCGGATGGTTTCTCTTTGCCTCTTCCAGCCATGCAATTGGTCGAATGGAGGAATTGATGAGGGGGAATGGCGAAAAATCGGCCAGATCGCGATTATCTAGCGATCTGATCCCTAATCGCTACAGAGGAGGCAGAGAGATTGAGAGGAAGAAGGAAACTAGGGTTTCCGTTTTTGGTGAAGAATGAAAAGTGAGGCGGCAGCTAGGGTTTCTCAAGGGGAAAGTGGAGAATATATACTTCCTTCCAAACGCTGTCGTATTCAGCACGGGTAACCCGTCGGTCGGGTCGCGGGGCGGATACTGGACGAACCACCACCGCCCGAAACCCACGGTTGACGGATAACGGGTAAACCGCCACCCGTTGACGGGCCCAAAAAATCAACCATTCAAGGCCCTTATCGGGCGGGCTTCGGGCGGATACCCGCTTTTGGGCCCCGGCCTGCCAAGCCATTCATCCCAACCTTCCACGTTTTTTCTCCCATTCGCTACCCAATTTTAATTTCCTTCTCCTACAAAACCCGAACCAACGGGTACCCATCAGACCCAACCCGGTCAACGCGGGTAAAATTCGTGTTGACGGGTTTTGGGCCGGGTTCGGGTTTAAACCCACTACACTATTCACCAAGTTGAGTTGGGTTTGGGTTTGGTAAACCCGCCCATGAGTACCCGCCCAAACACATATAATTACTTTCCGGTATATTAAATATTCTAAATAATATATCTTCCTTAAACAACTAATATTCTTTATGTTTGTAGAGACATGAATAATTTGTTCTTTCTAATTGTTTAGAATGAAGTTGATATTATGGAGTGGAGAGTGAAGAAAAATAGTTGATGAGGAATAAACTTTCAATTAATCTTGTGGTTTATAGATGTTTATCTTTAATTTTGAACAATTTGTATTGATCATTTGCGGTTTTCTTGTATGCTCTAGATTAGTGTTTTTTGTATGAATAATTTTGGATGAGAAAATTGATGTTAAACTTTTATTTTGAAAAAAACTTGTTATTGTAAATTTTTTACCACAAAAACCCACGAGTACCCATTAACCCGCGGGTACCCAGCGGGTTGGGTTGGGTTTGAATTTTTCAAATCCAACGGGTTTTACCCCGAATTTTTTTGTCAGATAAACCTATGGGTTTGGGTTTGACAAAACCCGCCCCAACCCGACCCAGTGCCATCCCGGAGTAGTAGTCGTTCGTCAGTTAGTTGTTCAAACACAGTAGCCAAAACGCATTTTTACCTCCCACTCTCGTTTTTTTCACACTCTTCTCGCACTCGCCGCCCCTATCACCCAGACGATGTCCTTCCCCGCGTGTATCCATCTTACGGTGGGTGCGATTTCAAACGCCGCCTGAGCGCGTGGGAGTAGGGAGCAGAGTGAGGAGGGCATGCTGACCCGGGAAAAGCAAGGAAATCAGTGGGGGAGAAGAAACGGAATAGGGGAAAGAAGAAGAAAAAACAAAACGAGATAAAAAGGAAAAGAAAAAAAGCTGATTTTCCGGTCAGAAAGCGAAGAACGAGAAAGAAAAAGAAAGTGCCAGATTATAATTATTATTCTTAACAATTTATTATTAATTAATTAATAATAGAGCAGCGGGATGAGATGAGAAGTGAGAGAGAGGGAGAGAGAAGGCTTTGTTTCGTTTTGTTTTGTATTGAAGAAGACAAAATCAACGTTTCTTAACGTCTTTTTCTGAGTGGGCAGAGTACAAGGCCACCGAGGAGGAAGAAGAAGAAGAAGAAGAAGGAAGGAAAGGAAGGAAGACGAAGAAACCCAGACGACGAAATTGCCTAGGCAGGTTTCTGTTCTGTCAGATAATTGCCGCGAATTATCCCTTTCTATCTTGTTTTCAATAATTAATTATTATTATTGTTTTATTTATTTTCTTTTCTTTTGCTGTTCTCCTCCTCCTTCTCAAATTCTACCCGCTAAATTGGAATTGGAATAGGGAGTGGATTGATTGGAATTGGGAATGGAATTCGGCTGGAGAGGGACTTTCGTGTCGGGTTCCGCTTTTGCACCTCCACCACCGCCTTCGTAATTCTCGCCCAACCAACTCACCACTTTCTCTTCTGCCTTCCCCTCTTCTCTTGTTTATTCGGTAAAGGGATACGCTCGCTCGGTGAAAGCTGAAGAAAACAAAAGCGAGGGAGAATTCACAGGAAAGAGAGACTCAACGATGGCTATGGCGTCTTCGTCTTCCGCGACGGTGGCGGTGGACAAGGCCACCAGCGACCTTCTCATCACACCTGATTGGACCATGAATATTGATATCTGCGACTCTATCAACACCAACCATTGGTATGCTCCATCCATCTCTTTTCTTCTTCTTCTTCTTCTTCTTCTTCTTCTTCTTCTTCTTCTTCTTCTTCTTCTTCTTCTTCTGTTTCCTTTTCGATTTTCTCCGGCGTTGACCCGCTGAGTCGTCTTCTCATGGGGCGTCCGTTTCACTGCTTACGCCGACTAGGTTTCTCTTGATTGTTACTTTCTTTTCTTGTATTAAAGAGATTCAATTATCTGGTAATCACGGATATATATGCTATGCTCACTTTGTTTCGCCGGAGAATTTTCTGAATCGCCGCTTTTTAAACTGTTACGACTGCGGACCCGACTCTGATCGTTTTGTTTTCCCCTCCGGTGTATTCTTCAGTCTCGTCGGTTTATTTTTTAGCTAACTTGTGGCTGTGTACTGTGGTTGGATTGCTCAGGCAGGCGAAAGATGTAGTGAAAGCTGTGAAGAAACGGTTGCAGCACAGGAACCCTAGAGTGCAGCTCCTTGCTTTAACGGTACTTAATTCTCACCTTGACCTATGGTTTGGACTCTCTCTCTGTTTTTTCATTGTTACAGTTCCGGAATTTTCACTTTTATTTATGATCATCATCATCTTGCTCTTTGTAAAAGTAGTTGTGATGACTTGATTACTTCCGCTCTGCAGCTCTTGGAAACTATGGTGAAGAACTGTGGTGATTTCGTCCACTTCCAAATTGCGGAGAAAAATATATTGGGTGAGATGGTGAAGGTCGTCAAGAAAAAGGTACCTGGCTTGGTTTTCTTAGTAATCATCTTCTGTTAAATAATGAAACTATGAAATTGCCTTCAATATCCATTTTATTGGTTCTCTGACTGATACCAGGAACTACTATAAAGTTCCTTCCTTTAACCAAACTTGAAATTAAGGAGGAGGGTGTTTATCAGTATATCAGATCAAGATTCTAGAAAAGTTGTTTTGAACAAATTGAATCCTATTTCCTTCCTCTTTGTTAGGCAGACTATGACTTCCCAAGAAAGATCATTCACCTATAGTATGTTGCATTCATCCCTGAAATTCTATAATGTTTGGTTTTGCAGACAGACCTTCATGTGAGAGATAAAGTCCTGGTTCTGCTGGACTCTTGGCAAGAGGCATTTGGTGGGCCCGGAGGAAAATATCCTCAATACTATTGGGCTTATGAGGAGCTGCGGGTGTGCTCCTTACTATAACCTTCACTTGATTTCTTTGGCATGCATCTTTTTCTTACCATGGTGTTTGCAGCTGCTCTTCACTGTTCAATGATTATCCTCTACATCTTCTGGGTTGACCCACTGTTTGGCCATAATGTTTTTTTTTGCAAGTTAACTCACTTCACCACTTATGACTTAACCTTGCGTACATGTTATCTGTAACATGCTTATACGATTAAATTTGATTGGTGAAAATTATGGGTAAATCAATGACGTGGACTTTGTGTATGACAGCGTTCTGGAGTACAGTTTCCCCCACGTTCTTTAGATGCTGCTCCAATATTTACACCACCGCTCACCCACTCGACATTGAGGCCTGCTCAACCTGGATTTGGAATGCCTGGAGGTTCTTCCAGAAGACTTGATGAAACCATGGCTACAGAGATTGAAGCATTAAGGTGAGAGTTTAATTAAGATTTGTCCAATCTCTTTTGTGTCAAGGTGGATTACATTTTCAATTTCGATTTTCTGTTCATTGCTGGTGACTAAAGATTTACTTTGGCACTGTTTGTAGTTTGTCGAGCTTGGAGTCCATGCGCGAAGTTATGGACCTCTTGGGTGATATGTTGCAAGCTGTTAGCACTGATGATCGCGAGGTATTTCTTACTTGAATGCTCCTCTTCTCACGGAATAAATTAGTTAATTACATTTTTTCTAATATATGATGCTGCTTTTGGGCCAGGCTGTTAAGGATGAGGTTATAGTTGACCTTGTCGAACACTGCCGATCCAACCAGAAAAAGTTGATGCAGATGCTGACTACGACTGGGTTCGTTCACTGAGTGCATGCGTGTCGATTAGTTGATGAAAAACAGCAGTCAGTGTAACTGCATAGCTCAAATTATGTCTATTACTCTTGCAGGGATGAAGAAGTTCTTGTTCGGGGTCTTGAGCTAAACGACAGCCTTCAGATCTTGCTTGCAAAACATGATGCTATAGCTTCAGGTTTGCCAATGCCTTCTACACCAGTTCCAGATTTCAGCTCCAAGCAAACAGAAGGAACTTCGTCCAACACAAAACCCACTGAGGTAAAGAACTCTACTCCAGCGCCCAGCACAGAACCAATCTCACAAGAGTCTAATGTGTCAAAACCCCAAGTGGATGAAGATGATGAAGAAGAAGAGGATGACTTTGCTCAACTAGCTCGCAGGTAACACATCCAACGTAAACAGCAATAAAACTGTGCAGCTTTGATCTGGATATATTGAGCGCTTGTTTCCTTCTTTTTGGTACAGGCATTCCAAAAGTCGGCCTTTCCATGCCGACACCAGCAATGGATCATGCGGAGCACTCGTACCAATAGAGACAAATCAAACTTCATCTGGAGCTGCATCTTCGCTTCCTGCCCAGACATCCACTGCTCTGGCTATTGTAGATCCAGTTAAGAATACACAAGAGCAGGATATCATTGACCTGTTAAGTATCACCTTGTCAACAAACTTTTCGTCCCCACAACCGGTCCCTTCTCAGACTCCAATCCCAAACCAAAGCATGCCTCAGACTCCAGTTTCCTCCTCGGGCACACAACAAACTTATCCTGGAATTCCAGGGGCCACATCATATGATAGTTATGTTGTACCATGGGCCCAGTCTCAACCTCAACTTTACTCGCAACAGCCCCAGCCCCAGAACCAGAACCAGAACCAGAACCTTTCTCAACCTCAACATTACTCACAACATCCACATGGTCCTTCGCCATCTCAGTCTCAGCCACAACCACAACCACAACCTCTTTACCATCAGCAGCAGCAGCAACAGCAACAGTTTCATCCACAACAACATTCTCAGTACCCTCCTCAATACTCATCTGGATATCCACCTCCTCCATGGGCGGCAACCCCAGGTTATGCCAATGGTAGTAATAGCCAAAATTACATGCCTGCTAATAATAATACCTTTGCAATGCAACACGGCAACACAGCGTTTCCACCTCGAACATCAGCTACACAGATGCAGAATCCCAACCTAGCTGGAAGTAACGGCACATCTATGAATGGGGAGACGGGGGCAAGGATCCCCGCAGCGCAGCCTATTGCACAGAAGCCATTTGTCCCGTCATATAGGTTGTTTGAAGACCTGAATGTTCTGGGAAACGGTGAAGGGAAGTTCAAGGTTAGTGGCAGTTCAGCTCCCAGCTTGTCTAGTTCATCTGGGCAGAGTATGGTGGGTGGTAGGAAGTAAATAATCGGAACGCGTGTCATTCGGTTATGTCGGTTGAAGTTGTGAGCGCAGAGCTATATGTGCATACCATAGACACTATTGCTCTGCAGTTTACCATTGTGTTTAGATTCTCTCGATTGTCGAATGAAAATCTGTGTAGCTTTTGCTTGCGGGTGGTTAGATATTATGCAACCCTGATTCTTACATGACACATCAGCCCCCTTAAGCTTCATTGCAGCGTCAGTTTATTCACTGAGAAAGTGCGACGAGAATCCATGCAACGACGCAGATGGATGCAAAGATAAATTAAAGGGAATCAAATAATTGTGCGGCACAGCAGTCACGTCAAACAGACTGATAGTACGATTCAGGATCCAATCCTCGAGCCTTAAGCATACGAAGTTATACACCAGACCCTCCTGACGTCGGAGAATTGCAGACAGAAGTATTATAGCGCACCAAACGTGAGGACGCGAACTTGCATTCAGTCCAAGTCCAGACCTTGCTCATTAGGATTCGCCAAGCAAGCAGTGGTAGGACAAGACAACCAAACTGTAAAACACATTGCTTGAACTAGATATCCATGCACAAGAAAAGATGGCGAAGGCATTTATTTACACAGGCATCCTTCATCAGTACAAGAAAAGAGAAGTACACTGATTCGGTTGCAAAGATAAACAGATCCTGCAACACGCCCACAGTCCACAAGTCTGTACACTACACGAACAGGCGAGAAAAGTGGGCATCCCCAGGATTTCAATGGCAAAGACAACAAACCATATCTTTCTGCATGCAACCCCTGTGAAATATTATTGGTAAACCGCAACCATGTAGCTTGAAATGAACACTGACAAATTTAACACATTTCCAAGATTGACGAGAGAAAACAGATACAGAAGAGAAACAAGAGACTATTTACACACATTTACGCCATACAAATGCTTTTTATTTGTGGAAGCCCCAGCCCGTCAATGAATAAGGAAGCATCTCTCCCAAAGCTGTGTCTCACCCTACACTGAGGCTAACGAATTCGTCTCGCTTTTACTTTCTTCTTGTGCCAGATCATATGGCAAATGCATCAGTCCGACCAGCGCACCGGTCTGACCAAAGTATCAGCCTGATCTAGTCGACATGCATCACGGAGCTGGATTTCCCTGTGTGCTTGTACCGCCACAGCTGCTGCTGGCTTTTGGAGTCGGATATTTCATGCATATATGTCAACTGGTAAATTAACTGTACATTCATCACCTTGCTTGAGTGTTATCATCTGCCCATAGAGAGACATAAGCATCGGCAGCCCCAGAAGCAAGCAGCAGTTGGTAGGGATGGAAAGTAAGGCAACCCACTGAACCAATCTTCTGGGCCATGAACGTGGAGTAATACCGGATTGTTCCAAGTTGCACACCTTCAAGACTGAATACTTTAATTATCTGCTTTGCTGACCCACTAGCAATGATTGGAGCATGCTTATGAACGGCTAGTGCTGTAAGTGAGCCCCTGTGGGCATTAATCGTGAGATAGGCATCTCTCTGAGTTCTGATGTCCAAGAATTGAATATCCCCAGCCTGAGACGCACTAACAATCTGTAACACAATGAAAAATTATTAACAGACCTACAAGGAACTAACATACGTAACATAAAACATGATGCACCAAGAGCTGGATTTATCACTCACCTTTGCCGGATCAAGTCCCGGTTGAAACCCAATACCCACTACTCTTTCTACCTTTTGGGTGTGGGGTCTCATCGTGCACACAGGCCTGAAATTCACAAAAAGCAACCTTGCTACTGAGAGGCGAATAAAAATAGATACCCATGTCTAAAGAACACTTGCAGTTCAGATATGAGAGTCAACTTACGTTTCAGGGGTCCGAACATCATATAATCTCACTGAACCATCAACAAAACCCGCAGCAAATTGACCTCCATGAACTTGAGAAGCTGACTGCAGAGAAATAAAAATATATATTTAAGGTAACAGGCAAAGGGAAAAAATAGGCAATGGAGAAACTCAATAAAACTATAAATCAGACTAGGACAATGGTGGCGGGACTAACGATATCAAAGGGAAACTACAACCTACAGTTCACAAGTACAACCACTGGAAGGACACTTGTTTAGCCATTTCACTTTAAAAAGGTTCTAGAAACCTGGAGAAGTCATACAACAATAAGACGTGATCAAATTATGGAGGAAGATGTACACTAGGACTACAGCTTCAGCTTACATGCCCAGGGAGATCTCAGACAGCCATTAGAAAAGAGATTTAAGATGAAGATCACTCAGGAAAAAAGTATCCCCTCTGAGTTTATTTCTGGATTGCTCAGAAGAAATATAGCAGCACAAGAATGGAATACCTCTTCTTGCAAACTGAGTAACTCACTGAACATAATACTTGGCACAAAATAAGTAAACCCTGCATGTAGAGTGAAGACTGTAGTCTCACAGAAGGAAACTCACCAATGATGACACGCTACAATCTGATGACGTGGGAATTGAATTAATAAGTTGTTCTTTCTCCAAGTCCCAAACCATAACAGAAGATACCTCACCAGAAGCATACTGTTGATGTAACAACAAATACATTTATTGGTCATAATCGGAATCAGACATAGTCATCAACCATAATATTATGTATATTCAGGGAGTATAGAAGTACCAGGTATCCAGATTGTTGTTGCCAATCCACAACAGCATTCAAACTACGTGAACCAGGTTTATGACCTTGGATAGAAGGAAATGCAGTAACAAGTTTTTGTTTCCCTCTTATAGAGTAATCTTTCCAAATCCGTATGTTCCCATCACCTACATGAATGAAGCGATAAATGTGCTGAGATTATACCAACTGGCCAAAAAAATAGATACCTGACAAGATAAGCCTTCAGTGAATTACATGAACCAACAAGAAGCAAGCTGTCATCCAGCTCATTAACCAGGCAAAGCTTTGAAATCCCCTTATCAGGGAAATCGTGATTGTCGAACCCATTGAGAAGTGCAGCTTCTTCATAGTTCCACACCCTGAAAAGAAAAGGTAAATAAAAGTCAATGTATGAAAACCATAGGCGTAAACCAATTACCGGAATAGTACGTAGTATGGTAAAAGCAAAATCATTAATGAGCAGAAAAAATCAGTAGAAGTGTCGGGAGTTAACATGAGTGCAGCTAAATTTTGTACAGCTTGCAGAAATTACAGCATCTGCCAACATAGAAGATGATAAAATGCCATACCTAATCCGTTCATTATCGTCGGCAGCAACTACGATGGGAGAGAAAGGTTGAAGGAGTGCTGCCTTTGTACCAGCCTCAAACTTAGTATCCCATCCAGCAATCTGATTATTAAGCTTGCCAACAGCTGTAAAGAGATAATAATTTCATTAGCAGAGACAACAATGAATTATCAAATAATAGAAAAATCAAATATAATAAAAGACGCACAAGAGTGCTGGCACTTGGAGATGTGTTCCAAAGCAAACTTTTCCCTCTCTTCTCGTCTAATCAGTATCTCCTCACTGTCATCAGTGGCAGTAAGAAGCGGCTTAGAGAAATGCCCGGAACTCCAGTTGTAGATTGTTGATTGAGGAAGAAGACTGCGTTCTGAACCTCCAGAAGCTACGGCTGAACCCAGAAGAGGATCAGCCAACCCAGAGTCCGGGGAACTCATCAAATGAGGTCTGAACTCCAAAGAACAAACTCGGCGCATTCCCGTCAAGTAACTAGGTCGGGGAGGGCTAACCGGCGGAGTTCTGAACGTCATTGGGAGATGACCTACTCAAATTTACAAAGCCACCATTAAATTGTAAACAAGATCAAATGAATCAAATACTAAATATATCATCATAAAGAAAAAGATGAGGGCCTAAGTACAATGATCTGAAAGTCAACACAGAAGCATCTGAAAGAAATAGATGGCAAGATCTGAACGAAATAGATGGGTGGAGGGAAATAACAAAGGGCAGAGGCTCACCAGCATTCATGTCGAACCAAGAGGATGAACGAGCCAACCCAGCCAGAGTTGGAGCTGGAGAAGAAGTTGCAGCTTCAATGGGGCGACCACTGCTGCCTGTGGAATTCACAGGTTTTGCTACAACTTGCTCAATACCGATAATTGACAGTACCCTACGCCCAAGGCCAGCTATACGTGGAGAAGGATCCCTGGCCAAAGTTAGCATGGCCAGCACACATTGTGAATACATAGCATTATCCAGAGGTTTTGGTCTCGAGTGATGCAAAACTCCATTGCTTATAACATCATTAAGGATGCCAGAATCAGAATGTTGAGAAGAATCATCAGATAATGGTGAACCATGCATAATCCCTGTACCAGTAAGGGGACTACTGTTAGACACTCGCCCCTCTCGCACCAGTGAGGCAGTGTCGCTACCGACTCTAGTCAGTGGACTAATTTGGGATGCAACGATACTTGGATGTGGCATATACTGGTTTGCAGTAGTGTATCCACTACCTCCCCCTTTTATGTGAGCCAAAGAAGGCAGTGAATTCAGTACTGAATTAGTCTGAGGCTTCCAATATGAGGCAGCAATGGATTTGAGGTGCTGCTTGTGGCCAAATGCAAAACGACCCAAGGCTGCAAAGGATTGGGAAGGAACTCAGTACCAAATATAGCAAGCTTATAACCAGAATCAGTAGTCAGAGTAAATGAGATGATTAAGCAAATAGGAGAATGCAAAGAATTTAGCTTATAACCTCAGGGTACTCCCAAATCATACATACCTACAGCAACCTCTGCCCTGACCAGTGGGCTTCCATCAGAAGCAACACTTAATATGCTTCTAATAATATTATTTTCAGCTCTAACTTTTTCATCATCATCACAATCATCATCTCCTCCAGAAGCCTCCTGGAAGGCATCACCCCCAACATCAAGCAGGGTTCCCAAAGCGAATACAGCTGAGGCTCGAACCTGGAATAGAATAGTTAAATGCCTCAGGTATCAAACAAGTGACACGACAATATCTCTCAACAAGATTAAAACTATTACGGAAAAACAGACCTCTGGTTGAGGCTCAGACAGCAGAGGAACATAGATCCCAGGGGCATCTGCCTGCAAACCTATGATTTGTGCTTCTGTAAAATCCTCCCACAGCTTCCCTAGACAAAGTGAAACCCACTGAAGAAAAAGTGGTTCAGACTGTCCATCATTTGGCGTTGAACCTTGAAGATGCTTCAAGCACACATGAATTAAACCAGCCTCGATACAAGCTTCCTGGCCTCTTCTATGCCCATCAACAATGACTGCCAAAACAAAGGCAGCCATAGCTCGCTGCTCAGGGTATGCTTCCAGGCTATCAAGAAACCTTATGAAATATGTATGTCCACCATCCTTGACAAGATCAACCTGACACGACTGCCACCCAGCAATGTAATGTCAAAACAAGTCAGCAGGTCATCAGGAAGAAACTGGATCAAACAGACAAGATGATATAAGGATTCCTGAGGCTAAGTGCACAACTTTCCTACAGAGCATCACCTAACTAAGCAAACGTGAAGAAGCTAATTCAAAGAGCACCTAGGTCTTCAGAGTGCTGAAAAAGCATCGAACTCTGCCTTTGCAAGTCCTTCTAGGAACATTACATGCATCCTAACAATCTCTAACTAATCACAGATCCAGGGCATCCTCACATTAAGAAATTGAAAAGCTGTCCAGGACATACCTTATCAAGAGCTAGTATCTTCGTCCATATAAACACAAGGATATGCCGCAGTTCTGGTGTTGTTGTTTGCAACAACTTCAACACATAAGGAAATATCCCAACAGATAATGCCTGGACAAAGAGAAACCAGTACTACATTTTAGAATTCATTAGTGAAAAATCGGTACCGCACTAATCAAGAAAGTCAATAAAAAAGTACCAGATCCACCGCCCAGGGACCCATATCGAGAAATCTTCCAAGAAGAACCAAAGCTTTAAAACGATGGCACTGACTAAGTAGAACCTGAAAAGTACTAAATAGGCTTAGTGGCAGATATTTTGCCTCAGAACATAGGAAAGCATATCAATTCACAGACAGAACTTTGCAAAAATGCCAATGTAGTCGCAAGAAAGAACATGTGACCAAATGCCCTCTGCCCCAGATATCATACCTGAAGAACAATGGGTAACTGCTCTGGTGGTTTTTTCTCTTGTGATCCATGATCTAACCATACCTCAAAGGCCATCAGCTGCTCGGTGAAAAAGGGGCTTGGCTGGAAGGAAAAGAAACTCAATTGGAAGAGAGCACAGATAGTATTCCATAGTGAAAAGAATTAGCTTTCAACAGTTCTGAAGGCGACAAGAAAGGTTGATAGCATTTGAAAAACATCAGTCTAATACTAGACAGTAGGATCAAACAAATCAAGGGAAAACCTGGAACTCCGCATTAGGGTCCTCAACCAAAGATGGAAGCTGAGAAAGACAAATTTCAGCAGCCATATCCCACGCGTCCCTATGTCAATTATGATTTATGAGTAGGATACTGAATAGTGGGATAATGACCATAAAAGAGCACCAAATAGAGTAAATGTTCATATTTACCACATATGGTGTTGGTGGGTAGGTGGCAACATTGGGTGAGAAATAGGGGAACAGTTTGCAGAGCGCATAATCCTCTCAGCAAGCAAAAAGTTGCGGAATAGACTGGCAACCAACAAATCTTGTCTAAACAGTCGCTGGAAAAGATCTGCAATATAAACTACCAGTTATCTCTGCTGCACAAATGATGACATATAACTCAACAGAGGAACCCACATTCAGCACAAGAGATGTAATAGTTAAGAATTAATACCATGAGGAAGAACATTCCATGCGATAGTATCAGTAACTGCAGTAAAGATCCAGTTTAATTCCCCAAGAAGGGTTTTACGGTCATTTTGACGACCAGGAATTTGGTCTATAAGTGAATAATCAAGGCTATCATGAAGTAATGACCGCGTGCAAAACCTGGAAAACAGAACGCCAGCAAATCCATGAGCCCAAAGTTATTGAAGATTAAGCAATAAATAAATAACACAGGAGGAGAACCATAGAAAAATGAAACTGGATTGATATACAGGGAAATGAACGAAATGTCATAATTAATTGTCTAATACATGACCAATATATGTTTGACGCAGGATGAAGAACAAATCCTCATATCTGGTTTTAACAAACCGCACAAAAATTTCATATGCATATCCTATCTGAATGACAGTAAGCAGCCCAGGTAACCAATCACACTATCTGACACACCCAAATCAGAAAACTCAAAGAAATCATGATAAATGTTAGTACCAAAACAATGCACGAGACACAACTAACTCGTTGACTTTCCATGAATTAATCTCATGCAGAAAGCTAAGTGCACATTGAAAGACATGCAGGACCGATGTTTGGGGGCAAACATAATTCTTCTGAAACACCAATGGCTGACTCCATTCCTTGCACCTTAATCCATGTGGATCTCCAAACATAATTCTTCGAAGATGAGGCGAACAGAGGAGAGGAGAGGAGAGATAATGAACTAATAATATCAGCTAGTACGCCATGCAAAGAATAAATAACAGAACCAAAAGCAAACCGCAAAAAACTTATCAAATCTGAAGAACAGAAGAGAATATGTTCACCATCTCAATGCCATCTTAATGGGGGTAGTTAGGCAAGAAGTAAACACATCGGCCGGAAATTCAGGACTTTGAGGTAGCGTCTCATGTGCTTCACATGCTGCAAGCAAAATGCAATCTCTCGTTGCCCCAGAGGATGCGGAAGCATTCAAGTCATGAAGCTTCCAAGAAGAAGAAAAAAATAACAATTAAACAAGTTAGAGACCGTATGATGACAAACTTCAAACCAACTATTAGTATGTTGAACTGCTATTACAATCAGTTTATCAATACCTCAATAAAGGCATTCACAATTATCCCAGCAGCAGAACAGTCGAAGACGTAGATAGATGGTGTTTTCAGCCAGGAATCAAGATCACTGATAGGCAATGGTATGTACTGCGTATAACTCTGCTCAAACTCCAGCAGTTAGAGTGTGATATGGCTCTTAAGCATATAGGAAATTCAAAAACTAACACCAACAACTACCTTATTGAAAAGCCAGATTTCACCATTTGGGGTAGGTTTTGGGACACCATGCCCATTATAATGGAATAAAACTCTCTCAGATTTAGCATATTTGCGACATGTATTACAAACTTTCTTCACCTCTTCCACTGTAGGATCAAGCTGTACTTTATACCGAGCCTGCCGCGAACAAATGAAATGATAATTGGATAGAACTTCATAAACCATTCAAACCGTAAACAGAACACATGAATTGGCTTACCCTTGGTTGCCATCTTTCATATTGAAGATTCAATGTTTTACCAATTGTATCAAGAGCTTTTGAAGGGACCATTGAAAATGGATCTGCCAACAAAGGGACCATGTGGATCAGAAAAAGTAACAGTTTCTCAAACTGAGAAACGATCGCATTCTTCAAACATAGTCAAAACAGATACAATTTACAATTTAGATAGCAGATAATAGGAAAAATTCATTGTGTGGTGATGAAAGTACAAGGTCCAAAATATTCACTATTTCATTATTTACAACAAACAAGAGACAGCAATTAAGAATAGCAAGTTTAAGTTTTCACCACCAGAGGCAATCTTCTACAGCAAGTTCAATAGGCAATGGAATCGTTATTCAAATCGGTAGAATATAAAACGAAAAATTCAACAAGAACCCAAGGATAGATAGAAGACAACTAGTAATAAATGTTAGGGAAAGAATTAGTAGTAAAAAAATGCACCTATCCAGCACTCCATTCTGGCACAAGGTGAAATCTTTATTACATCAGGTGGATCGACACTAATGTTTAAACATAAAACTAGAGCTACATATCCCGTCTTCATCTGCACAGAAAAGTGAGAGTTAAAACAAAAAGACACATACATGTAAGATGGTGAGCAAAATCACAACAAAATATAAAATGACAAAACACAAAGGAACAGGGAGGCTCCACTACACAAGAAGTTAGATTTTCAAACACACAACTTAATAACCTCTACTGACTACAAGCTCATGCAAGAGAAAAATATGAAGAAAAAGCACTTCAAGTAAACAGAGGTTCCACTTATATTCTAACAAGTAACTGAAGGTATTAGGTGAAGAACCAATTATTCTAGACGTATAAGGTAAACATAGAGTTACTTATATCAGGGACCAGGAGGGTAAATAAGGGCTCCAATTACATTCTAACATGTAACCGAAGGTAATAGGCCAATAGCCAGATATTTAAGGTAAAAAAAAAAGTTATAACAAGGACAGGGAGATGTACTGATCAATCTGGAGCTCACCAAACAATAATATATCAACTTCATTAATATTGAGCTTCCTTGTCTCACAAGACGAACTCAGATCATATGCATCAGTTAAACTATGGTTGATATAGTGCCAACAGTCAACATTTTTGGAAACATCTAGAAAATGCTGCACATGTGCCCGAGTGGGAAAATTATTCGCTAACCTAGCACTCCATGAATATATCAAAGGGGAATAAGAGATTCCTGTGCTTCATCAAAGATTTATGAATAAAAATAGTCTACCAATACTAACACAAAAACTTCCGGGTTTACTCCCAATCATCCATATTGTCTTCCTCATTATCAATGAGTTGCAGATGAGAAGAAATCAATGCCCCGATCAAGAAAAGCCATAGCCTCTCCAATGTATTTTCCAGTGATATACTGTAAAAGCAGAATTCATCCAGCAGCTTACTAAACATTCAGGCATTCTCAGTCACATAGCTAGAAGGCTAAGATCCACTTGGTCCTTGACTGATTTTTCGAGAATAGAAGGTAGGGAATGTTCTCATTCATCAAATGTCATGAATACAATGGCACTTTCGCTTTAACTAATCCCAGCAAGTACGACGAGGGTCAAAAGGCATTTATGATCAGAGCAGAGTAGGATTACCAGACTTCCTAAGCTATAATTCCATGCTGCCTAGGGTCAATGGTGAAAGTTCAAAGACACCAAGGAAGGATCCAATGAAGCCTGTGAAACAAATACGACAACAAAACTCAACCCCAACAGCACAAAAGAAGGAAACAGAGAGCCCTTACTCGATCCTTTGGTCGCCATTTAGAAACGATACCACTGTCAGATGGACCAGTAGGTACTGAAACTTCAAATGCCTCATGACGAAGCTCGCACAGGACGATAGTCTGAGGCAAATACGCCATGCTTGTAGTAGTGCTTGTCCCTGCATTGCCATAGCTACTACTGGCAGCCTCGGAATCCCTTCGCTGTGAAACTAAATCAACGACATCATCATCAGCTTGAGTAGAGGCGCCGTCATCGTAGTGATTGGAGACCACGGCCAATGAAGAAGACTGAGAGAACCGAGAGGCCATCAAATCGCCCAATGCCATCCAAATCCCTAGAAAAGCCTCACAAATATGTACACAGCAATTCGAGCCGGAGCGAGCAAGCCAACAGAATCAGCGGCGTTGCCCTAATCGAGAAGGCATAGGCAGACCCGAAAGAACCCAGCCACGCAGACCAAAAAAACCCTAGGGTTTGGAAGTGAGGCAGCGACGATGCGCGCAGGAGGATCGAAAGGAGTATCGATGCAGATGAGAGGGCAGCAGGGAAAATCTGTCTAAGAGAGTCTAATCGACAAACCCACTGAACCAGCGGCACATGGAGATTCGCAAAGTGGAATACAGAGAATCCAGCTCGGAAGGCGAGAGACAGAGCACCTCCCAAACCCTAGATTCTGGTGGCCAAGGCGGAGATGGAGATGGCGGCCGAGAATCAAGGATGAAAACGAAGGGACCAGAAGTAGGAGAAGAAGATGGGAGACGGAGGCGTGGGGAAAGGGTGGCGACGATGGAGGCGCATAGAACAGTGGCGGCACCACAACAGAGAGGGGGAAAAATAAAAAGATAAAAAAGAAGGGACGATGAAGGAGAAGGAAAAAAGAAAAAAGATTTCTATGTCAAAAGAGGGAAAGCGCAGCAATAGTGACTCAGTGAGTGACACACACATACATTATACATAACACATTCATTACAAAGCACAAACTGCGTGCGCCTACGCGCGCGTGTCCCCTGCCATTTACGTTTCTCTTTCTTTCTCTCTCTCTCTCCTTCTTGTTTCTTATTTTAATTTTTTGGCCTTTTTTCCTTCCTTGTTGTTCTTCAATCTTCAGTCCCATTTGTTATTATACTCTTTTTATTTATTATTATATATAGTTCCATTCTTTTGATATTTGTTTCCCTTGCTTGCTGCTCTTGTGCATAAAATGAAATTAATCCGCTTTTATGTTTGGTAGATTCCGTTACTGTAACATGAGTTACACTATGTTTCCGAAGGAAGGAAGGAAAGGAGGAAAAGGAGGGGAGGTGAAGGAAAATTAGGAGGGGAGGTGAGATTTGGAGGTGAAGGAAATTGGAAGGAAAATATTGTTTTATAAAGGAAAGTAGGAAGGAAAGTGTGTATTGGGAAGTGTGATGAATATGTTATTTTATTAGTTATGTAATAGTAAATAGAGACTTTGTTATAATTGAATTACTATTAATTTTTAAATTTTCTCAATAGTCTTTTATAATTGAATTATTTTATTATAGAATGCACTCTCTAATAATTCTGAAAATCCAACCACAAAAATAAATACGAAAGAAAAGTTTAAAATAAATAGATACAAGTAATTAGTCCAAACAAATAACACATAAATTAAAATAATTACACAAGCGAATTGCAAGACATGGCTCACGTTTGTGTAGCTTCACACAAAAACCCTCCACTTTAAAAAAGGAAACTGTTGGGCGAGCCTGGCAAGGAGAAGGCCCAGCCCAAATGGGGTCGGGGGTTGTAACTTAGGTGGTGGGACCGGGCGTGACGTAAGGCGCATAACGACAAAAGTGGCAACGGCCAAGAACGTAGGGGAGGGAATAGGATGTGGGGACATGCGCCTCGGTGTCGGGAAACGGTGTCAGAATGTCGAGGCGCATGGTGTAAGGTACAATGCATTTAATGAGATGATGACGTGGGGCGGATTTGGGGGGCAGTAGTCGACCCTACCCTGGGTATAAATAGTGAAGTTGGTGGAGCTCATTTACTCAGGTTGGAACTTCTCTCTCTAAAGCTACACTTCACTTCTCTCTCTAGAAAGACTGTTCTAACTTCGGCGTCGGAGTGCTAACGAGCCCCAAGTGAGGGGCTCGGTGGGCGCCTTCGTGTGCAGGAGCGAGGCGCGAGGTAGGGACGAGTCCGGAGAAGGAGGGGCGCATTGGTCACCGGGGGCGTCGGGTTACGTGGCATAAACAATTGGCGCGCCAGGAAGGGGAGTATAGTCTTGAAATCGAAAGGGGTCATGGAAGAAGCGGCGGAAACGGCAGGAGAAAGGAACCGCGCCCCGAACGAAGCGGGCTCTGACGAGGTGCCCCGCTTGTCAGAGGAGGTGCAAGGAGGAGGAGACGAGGTGCAAGAGTCAGCCCAATCGGAGGGCGTCACACTCACCAAGGAGCACTTGATTCGCATAATCGAGGAGCAAGACTAGGCGCTTGAGGCGCTAAGGAAAGAAGTGGAAGCTCTGAAGAAGGCGGGACGCGATGCCTCATCCCAGCGGAAGGAAGAGAGAGAGAGAGATGAGGACGAAGAGGGCATGTACAACACTCTAAGGCGCACGGAGGAGTTAGGTCCTCTGACCCGGCACATGGCGCCGGACCCCGACGAGCATAACGGGTGGGTGCCCAGGTGCCTCGGGCGGCCCTGGGGAGTCAGGCAACCGCTGGCGTGAAGCGTTTTAGCGGAGCAGGCCAATTCGGTCATACCAGCGCTTCCTAGCTACGATGGTACGACCGATCTGAATGACCACCTGAACAACTACTTCACCAAAATGCAGCTGTACAATAGCTCGGACGCCACGTTGTGTCGCGCCTTCCCGTCAACATTCGTCGGCATGGTGCTAGACTGGTACCATCAAATTGAAGAGGGGAGGATCGACAGCTTTGAGCAATTCGCATCAATGTTCCTTTCAAAGTTCGCCAGCCGGAAGCGCAGGAGCCTAACGATTAGCGCATTGTTCAAGGTCAGGCAGCGCAAAGGCGAGGAGCTCCAGGACTTCTACGAACGATGGATGTCGGTTGCGATGGCAGTCAAAGATTTCAAGCCCCCGGTCCTGGGGTGTTGTTTGGACGAGTGTACCACTAGTGAAGAGCTTTGCCGAGCGTTGTCAAAGCGGGACGTTGTGTCCACGGAGGATTTGGACCGTAGGGTGCAGAAAGTCATAATGCTAGAAGAGACGTTGGCCGCAAGGAGGATGGAACGAAGAGAGTCGCGCTCCGAAGAGATGGAGGGGTCGCAGGCACCCCGAATGTCCCAGGTCTCACAACATCCTCAGAGCTATTCTCAGAATGTTCGCCGACCTGAGCCGCAACGCTTCGTGCCACGGAGTGCGGCGAACTTCACCGAACTCAACGACTCTCTGAAAAATGTCCTGCAGTATGCGAGGGACAAGGGGTACCACCTCCGCTGGCCGAGCCCTATGAGGGGGCGCCCCAATGAGGTTCTGCGAGTTCCATCGCGAAAGGGGGCACCACACGGCCGACTGCTACCAACTCAAGTCAGAAATCCAAGGGCTAGTGGATAGGGGAATGCTAAACGAATTTGTGAAGAAGGGGGAGGATAAGGCGCAACGAACCTTCATGGCGCAGGAGGAGAAGGTGGCGGCGCCCCAAAGGAGCGTCTGCGAGAGTGGAACCGCCCTCGGAGAGAAAGAAGCGCCGAGAGAAGGCAGAGAATTACCACCTCCCACCTTTGAGGTCGAGCCAGAGACTAACCCTGCCCGGGTGAGGCTGACCATCGAGGCCATCTCCGGTACGATTGACCTGAGGCAGAAGTTCAAGGAGGGAAGTCGGCTGAAATCAGACACCACCAGCGCACGCGCTGCCGTGCGGATTCACTTCAACGAGGCGTCTGAGGAAGCGTGTCGGGTTCCATCGGTAGAAGTGACTCGCTATGACACAATTCCTAACAAAGGCCAAGTGTAACCAAAGAAAGGGACTGCAGTATAGTGGCTCAAGTGATAAATATCGAATCCACGGGTCTCTAGAGTTACTATTACTCACCTTCAGTTTATTATTCAGCAAACCAGATTAAGATGAAAGAACTAAAACTACTCTAGCAAACTACAGTTAAAGTTAATCTAATTACAGGTTGGGAACTCACTTAGGTATGATTCCCCCTAGCCACTAGCCAGACTAACGATTGATGATTTCTAACTTGTTTCACTTTCATTCACAATGCGGAGAATCCTTGACTAGACCTTGAGTCTCGACTATAGGAACAAGGCCCTCTTGAGTCAATTGCCTAGAGGGACGTATCCTTCTCTAGAACAACCGATCAAGGCTTTCTGAACTAGACTCCCTCTATCGAAAGAGGTTCTCAATCGATACAATGCAGTGAATCAGCCCTCAACTAAAGCAATCGATCCAATACTATCAATCTATGGTGCTCTATTGACCTAATCAGGTATTCGCTCTCATAGGATCAAAGCAGAATCAATAATCTCGACTAAAGCAGAATTGAATCATGAAAATATGCATAGATTGAATATGAACTCACGGTTATCAAGTCAGAGTTCTCATACAATCATCCAATCAAACAAACATAGCTAGGGTTCCTCAAAACCTAAGTGAAGGGAAGTTACTCCATAGAGAAGAGAGAGACTGCAGTAAGAATCTTCATATGATCAGTCTTCAAGTCCGGGCTTGTTCCTCGAGCTTCCAAGGTGAAGAAATCCTCCAATTCCACTCTTAGAATGCCCTCAAATCGCCCTCTCTCTCTTTGGTTCGTCCCTTGGGTGTTTGGGATCCAAAACCCAGCTCTCCCTATCCTTTAGCTCGAAATTGACTTAAAAAACCCGATTTTGGGCAAAACACTGCTGAGGACACGACCGTGTTTTGCTTTTGCCCGCCCGTGTTTTTCCCCGTGTTAAAAACACGCCCGCGCGCGTCGTCCAAAACACGGCGTGCCTAAATATGGGCACGGCCGTGTTTTGATTTAGGCGCGCCCGTGTTTTTACTGCCGAACTTGTTCCCCTATATTCAATGCTTCGTTTCTCCCTCGTCCGGACTCCGAATCAGTCGCCGTTTGATCCCAGACGCTCGTAGTCTCGTCCTCTTTATTTTAATGACAAGCTTGAATGATTCTTTGTCCATAAAGTGAGGTAGAAATCCATTCTTCTTCAGGTCATGCCCGAGTTTCTTCTCCCTAATCGCCAATTTATCTCTGATTGACTTGAAACTTGCGCCTATGCTTCACTTTATGTGCTAGGATAAAGGAACACAACCTAGCTCAAAATAGGCCAAAGACGCGAAAATTAAAGCTCAAACGATCAAGAAACAAAGGGGAAAACATGTGCAAA